TTTCTTTTCTTTTCTTCCTTTCTTTTTTTTTTTTTTTTTTTTTTTTTTTTTTTTTTAGGACTTTCTCTAGTCTTTTTCTTTTCTCTCCCAAGCCTACATTTTTAAAAAACATGCTATAAACCATTTAGAGGTTTTCTTTTTTCCCTTTAAGTCTGTCTTTACTGCTGCTACCAAGAAGCTGTGCTTGCCTTTGTTCTTTTGTTTTCAGAATCCCTTTTTAAGCTTTTGTCAGGTTTTATTCTTGCCACCCATGTCTAGGTGCCATTTGAAGGTGGAGGTCTCTGTCCTATCTGGTCTTGTGCCATTTAGGCCCACATAAACACATGGAGACATATTAATTGTTAAACTGTTGGCCAACTGAAGCCAACTGTTGGCTTCTTATTAGCCAGCTTTCTCTAAATTATTAACCCATTTCTATTAATCTATGTATTTCCACAAGACTGTGGCTTACTGTAATTTGTCATGTTACTCCTTCAGCAGCATGGAGTCTCTCTCTCATTGCTTCCTTCTGCCTTCCTCTCCCCAGCCTTCTCAAAATCTGGTAGCCCTGCCTGTGCTTTCTGCCTGGCTATTGGACAATCATCAACCAATAAGAGAAACATACTACAGAAGGACATCCCCCATCAGTCCTTTACCCATAGATGTGTAGACTTAAGTCTCTGTCTTTATTTTGATTCCTTTGATCAGTGAGTGTGTCTGTCTTTATGCCAATTTATGTGTGTTTTTTTTTTTTTTTTTTTTTTTTTTTTACTTCAGCCGTAGTACAGCTTGAAATCAGGGTTGGTGATACCTCTAGAAGTTCTTCTATTGTACAGGATTGTTTTAGCTATCTTGGGTTTTTGTTTGTTTGTTTGTTTTTCTATGTGAAGTTGTATATTGTTTTTTCAAGGTCTGTAAATAATTATGTTGGAATTTTGATAGTGATTGCATCGAATCTGTATATTGCTTTTGTTAGGGTGATCATTTTTGCTGTGTTAATCATACTTATCCATGAGCATAGGAGATCATTCCATCTTCTGATATCTTTTTCAGTTTCCTTCTTAAAGGCTTGAAGTTTTTATCATACTGGTCTTTGACTTCTTAGAAAGACTGGCATGGTATGTACTCGCTTGTAAGCGTGTATTAACTGTAAAGTAAAAGATAATCATGCTGTGGTCCACAGACCCAGAGATGCTAAATAACAAGGGGGGGATTAAAGAAGGATTGAAGGAACCCCCAGGGAAGGAGAAATAGAAAAGATTTTGAGTGTGGACTGGGGAAAGGTGGGGTTGGGAACAGGAGGGTTCAACTGAGGGTGGAGAGAAAATACTGGGAGAAATGACTGGAATTGGGGGCACTTGGGAGGTGACGTGAAAACCTAGTGCATTGCAAAGTAGGTGGAATTTACAAGAGTAACCCTACAAAAGATTCTTAGTAATGTGTGTCACGAAGTCTGAAATGGCCATCTTCTGTAACCAGGCAAGGCCTCTAGTGTAAGCATTGGGACATCAGTCCAGCCACAAACCCTTCAGTCTACAGTGTGTCCTGCCTGCAGAGTGCTCTGTGACTGGAGCCTAGCAGCATCCTCATCAAAGAGACCAGAGAGATTTCATCCAGCAACTGATGGGAGCATCTGCGTCTCACAGCCAAACATTAGGAAGAGCTCGGGAAGTCCTATGGAGGAGGGGGAAGAAAGTATTGGAGGAACCAGAGAGGTCAGGGACACCATGAGAACACGGTCCACAGAATCAATTGACCAGGACTCATGGGGCTCACAGCGATCAGGGAGCCTGTAGGTGTCTGACCTAGGTCCTCTGCATATATGTTATAGTTGAGTAAGTTGGTGTTCTTGTGGGGCTTGTGACAGTGGGAGAAGGGGTGGCTGCTGACTCTTTTGCCTACTTAATGGGACCCTTTTCCTCTTACTGGGTTGCTCCATCCTTAATGTGATAGTTTGTGCCTGGTCTTTTTGTTGCATATTGTGACATGTTTGGTTGATGTTCCTGGGAGGCCTGCCCTTTTCTGAGAGTAGAGGGAGGGTGGGTGGATCTGGGGGAGAAGGGAGGTGGGGGGAAGAGACTGGGGGACGTGAGAAAGGGAAAACTGTGATCAGGATATACTATATGATAGAATTTTCAAAAAGAAAGAAAGACTCACACATGCACTGTGCAGGGTGCCGTGTTCTGTCTGCAAATACTTCTGGAGTAGCCTCGCCATCATACAGGATCACCTGTGTTTTAATGGATTTATCAGCAGAGTAACCTGGTGAAAAACACAGATGCACATATGGTTTTACTGTCTTGTGAATCAGAACATCCTTTAAAAACGGATATACATCATTTAACCTATTCATGTTTTGCAGACATTGACACTGTCACTTCCTGTCTCATCCAGATTCCATTGAGAAGAAAGCATTAGCACTTTGTGTGTGTGTGTGTGTGTGTGTGTGAGAGAGAGAGAGAGAGAGAGAGAGAGAGAGAGAGAGAGAGAGAGAGAGAGATTTCACAGTAAAGCAAAGCAAATATTTTCAACTTGGTAGCTTGGTAGACCATAGATTTTCTTCTGCAGGTGTTTGATGTTTATTTCTGATGTTATAGTATGAAAGCATCCAAGACAGAAGTGGAATGACAAAGTTCTAGTAAAATTTCAGAAATATACTTTAGCTGACTTAAATATGAGCAAAAATAATGGATATAGAGACTTCAAATGTATTGACATGCTCTGTATTATTTCTTATGCTCCTGCCATCTTTCATCACAAAAACATGCCTGTGGTTTCCTTGGTCTAAGGAGCATGGGCAACAGGGCAGACCTAGCCCTAACACAATTTAAAATCAAGGTGTGTGAGGCAGAATTGCTTAGCTGTGAATTTGAAGACCTGTGAGCTTCAGAATAAAAAAAAAAGTTAAGTTTTATATAATTTGTCTGCCCAACCAATAGTAGAATTTTATTGACCTATTGACAAAGAAAATGTGAAAAGATTTTCAAATTTGAAAGCATTGCTTTCTTTCACAACACCATGGAGGTAATTTCCTAAAGAGGTTCTCAAAATGTTTTGCTGATTTGCTGATTCTGAGGAGACAAGTAACCCAAATGCTGTGAGCTAATGTCACCCAGTTTGGAGGAAGATAAGAGGAACTGTAGAGATTCTTGGCTGGCTCTGTTCTGAATCCCAACAGCATGACATGTGGACTTAGTTCCTCCTCTTTTAAACAGACTGTGTACAAAGTACATTTGAAAAAACAAGGCAAAAGTAAAAAGAGAAAAATAAAGTTTCCTCCCTCATAGATAATCTTTGCTAGCATATATCACAAATACAGCCTTTTAAGAAATTAATTGTTAATAGGCTAGAGAGAGAAAGCCTGTCTCGAAACCCATGCCCCAAAAATAAAGAAATTAATTTTTATAGTCATTTTTATACACATGTATGTGCTCTGTTTAACATTAGAGTTTTAATCTGGTTATTATAGCCTAAGCATTATTCTAGGTCATTATAAAGGCTTGATAAAAGATCCATTAAATCAGTCTTACATGGCTATTCCAGGTAACAATTTGCCTAATTGTTCCTTTTATTAAGTAGCAGGTTAATTTTCTGATTGAGACTATTATAGATATTTATTTTATGATTAAAAATTTTGATGGAGTTTTTATTAAAAGGCTACACATATATGTACATGAATGTAGAACTACCAAGTGATCACAGGGTCACAACTTTACCGAGTTCTCTAGACACATTCCTGCTTTAAGCCTTCAGTCACTATGCCCCTCTCTGCCTCCAAGGCAACTACTGACTGACCTCCGGTGCTATAGATTAGCTGTTGATTAAATGTCTGTGGTTTGATTAATTTCCATTAAACCTCTAAAAGTAGAGTTACTATAGCAAGAGGTATATTTTAAAATACCAGTTCATATTATTTAATTGCCTTAAGAAACAGTATGTTATATGATGCCATCACATGATACAAATGTATGGAGAGGAATTTTGTACCTAAGAGTGGGAAAGTAGAGAGCAGAGCCAGTTGGAAGGAGAGACGGTGAGAGGAAGTGAGTAAGACTGATTGAGACCATACCATCTTGGGGAAATCTTAGCAATCTGTTTTCAAATTCTCTTTCATCCTAACGATGATCTTGGTCTGAATGCTGCCAGTTGTGTGACAGTTAGAAAGGTGAGCTTATGTATTTGGACACAAGTACCACCCAACTTTCTGTCCACATTCATGGCCGAAGTAAAACATGAATATTGGAAGAGCAAGACACACAAATGTAATCCTCTCACAGGGAGAGGTACCACTGGATGGAAAGCTGGAATGCTGGGCAGTGCAGCCACCACTGTTTCTGTTCAGTGACCTCACCCCATCATTGAGGAATCTTCTCATTTGGATTACTTCTCTTCAGTCTTCTTCTGTAATGAAGCACTGCAGGTCTTGGGGAGCCTCCATATGGAACCATAACTTATGTAGTGTTTGCATAGGACTGGACTTTTGGGGGTATAAACCCTACTTTCCTAAGAAGATGCCTAGAAAACATACTTGTTCATGAAGAGGTGATGGGGAAACACTAAACTTAGTGATGTATTTTTGGCAGAAAACAATTCCTCACTAGGAACTATTTTATAGCTAGCTCGTGTGTTGTTTCCACCATCTGGGAAGATATTTGGTATATGGCTTCCTAGCCCACAGGTAATAACAAGACCATGGAGATTTACCTGCTGATGTGGCAAGGGAGCTGGCTCCAGGTTCTGGGGAATGCTTTGGCAGTGTGCTTAATACCCCGTCCTCACTGTTTCCTACTATAAGTTTGCTTTCTTAGTCAGTGACATTCTTTTCTAAAGCAGCTACTTAGTAATATTGAGTACAAGTGTTACTTCTTATTTTACTTCATCTCTTTTTTTTTTTTTCTGTCCAAACATAAATGCCTTATGACAAAGCCCTGTGGCTCAATTAGACTGAATCCCCCGCTGGTGAGGATGCTTGTGGACACCCACATGGGTTTAACATAGTTTTTCTCTTTTGTTCTCTGCAGATTGCTTCTCACTAGGGATGGTGGAGTTGGATGGAGACTCCTTCAGTCCTCCTCCAGGATGAACCACCTGCCAGAAGACATGGAAAATACTCTGACTGGGAGCCAGAGCTCACATGCTTCTCTGCGTGACATCCATTCCATCAACCCTGCACAGCTTATGGCCAGGATTGAGTCCTATGAAGGAAGGGAAAAGAAAGGCATATCTGATGTCAGGAGGACTTTCTGTCTGTTTGTCACCTTTGACCTCTTATTTGTAACATTACTGTGGATAATAGAGTTAAATGTAAGTTGATTCTTGTTTCCAGAGGTACAGAAGTTTACATTTTTTTTTGTTGTAATTTTTGTCTTATTTAGTGAATTCCATCTTTTTTCAAATGATGCATTGGTTACCTATCTCCTACCTTTTAGTGTTAGTATGTGAAACACACCTAGTAAACTTCAGATTCACTTCCTCTGTGATTACAAAATTTGAATTCCTGGTGCTTACTTTAATAATACAGAGTTGAAAGTGACACTGCCTGTAGGACAAATTCAGCTGTCTGGCTTTATATAACCTCTCTAGGACACTGCAGTGCTCATTGTGCATGGGCTTATTTATTTATCCATGTCTGTGCTTTGGCGTGAGTAGCTGAGGGAAACCTGACGTCAAAGGCAAAAATGACTTATTTCCTGTGCCTTTTTAGATAAAAATTTACTAGATCTTCCTCTAAAAACAAAAACAACATAGCTCAGTGGTTAGGAGTACTGGTTGTTCTTCCAAAGGGCCTAGGTTCTATTCTAAGCAAGGACATGAAGGCACACACATCTGTTAACATTCCAAGGGATCTGATGCCCTCTTCTGGCCTCTGAGGGCACCAGGTACACACATGGTAAATAAACATATATGCAGGCAACAAAGCACCCATATATATAAGATAATTTTTAATATTAAAATTTATGTGGAAAATGCTTCTGAAATATGCATTCTATATTGTGTCTGTTTTTAAATTCCCTTGTTTAAGATTTTGCAAAAGACATTATTTCATCATATTTTATTGAACAAGTTCTAGAATATTTTGGAGAACTATACAATTATGTTGCCCAATAATAATCTATGTAAGTACACCCAAATATAATACAAACTTTGACATATATTATTTTAGATTCTCTAGTCATACATTAATAAAATTAAAATAGATAGGTGGAAGTTATTGTAATTCTACAATTTGGCTAACCCAGATGCTGTTATTCTTAAAGCCTTGGGTCTGGTTGCATGTGTTCCCCACCACCTAATCTGAGCCCTTCTGGAAGACACTCCCATGTACAAACACTGTCTCCCTTATCTGTCAGTGGTTCATTTTGTCCATCCCTCAGCCATTCTTTGGGAATGCAATAGGCTCCTACCTATCTTAAGACCACCAAAGTAGTGTTCCTTCTGTATAAAATTATTAGTTTTCTGTATCCTCTTGAAGATTGTGAGATTCTATCATGCTGGTATCAGTGTAAATGTCACCATCAATCTATCATTGTCTTGTATCTGTCTGCTGTGATTCTTTGTTGTTGTCTTTTACACAATGGCAAGCTCCTAAAGACAGACATTGCCTTACTTCCTGAAGTATTTCCTTTATTGGAACACTACTGTGCACTCAGTAGGTTCCCAGCAGATACTTTGTCAATGGGTTAAAATCATTGTGAAGGTCATCAGCATTGGTGGGCAGGTGGATTAAGCCAGTGACCTGTTAGCAGCAAGAACACAGTCAGAAGCTGGTGAAGGAATGCCTCTCTAGGTGCCTAACTAGGAAGAAAGAACTCATCTGAGAGACATGTCAGGAGATGGTGGCAGACCTCTAGACAGTTGATTTGTATCCACCCCAGTGTTTAGGACCTTGATGGAACCCAGAAGAGTACAGAGATACTGTCCTTTTGCTTGGGCTCAGAAGTGCTTCGGACTCCAGATTTTGAGTGTATTGGAATATTTACATACACATAGCAAGTATAATGACAAATTTACTTGTTCATACTTTATCCACATAGTCTACTGGCCAAGTTTCACTGTTCAGTGGGTCTGAAGTTGAACTAAGACTCCTCTTCCTGTGAGGTCAAGTGTGGAAGTTCCCCTTACCGAATGTGTATACTTAGAAAGCCTCGGGTTTTGAATCAATTAAGATTTCAGATGTGTGGATAAGGGATGCCCAGTTTATTCTGGAAAGATGATTGGAAGAGATTTGGTTTGAATTACAGTGGTCTGCTCGAGAACCCCTGGATGAAAGATTGTAAAATAAGGATCTAAAATTTAAGTTTGGGTTGCAGACATAAACTATAAGAACTCTGCTAATAGGAAACAGAGAGTCAAGATACAATGCACTCAGATAGAAAAAAAGAAAAAAGCATTTCCTTCTGGCCAATGTGTACCCAGGAAACAGAAGCAGGAGGAGCTGTTAGTGCTAGAGAACCATCTTCATGTGGGTCACTGGAAGTAATATTCTGTAGTTTGCAGAGACACAGCTTGAGGTTAGGAGGCTGCTTGCGTGATTTCTCTTTTCTGTGTTTCACTTGTGTAGATCAGTAGCTAAGTAGGTCTATACCTGACTTCTACGCTTGACTTGTGCAGATCAACACATAGATCTATAGCTATGTGTATGACAAGAATTGATCAGTACTTGTCACTCAGAACCCTAAACTCCTCCAGACTTATAATGCACAAAATAGTGTTCATGCTTCTATTCCTGTACCAAATGCAAGTCAGTGGAATAGCTAAGACCTCCCTTTCAATGTGACCATTTCTATTCCAAGTTGAGCAGCTATGGAATCTTGTGAAATGATTCTTCATTGATTTCCCCGCTTACCCAGTTGCCTGTTTAATTTTTCTGTTGTTTTTCAGGCTGTCTGTTAGGATTGCATTTGTAATCAGAAATTTAAGACTGAGCCACACCCCAGGGCTATAGAGAGCCTGCTTGGTCTGCATAAATCACCTAGAATGTGGCTCCTACTTGATTTTTTTTTTTAACATACTACTCTGCACAGTTTAATCTCTAGAATTCGGATGTTCGTCATTTAAAATTCATTTTGGCAGTGTGAAGACCAAAAAAGAGGTTGCCCTATTGGATTTTATTGTCCTCATTTGCTATAACTGTGTTATTGTAGGTCAAATCTGTTCCTGTTTTTTAATACAAGAAAATCTATTTGTCAAAGTTTTAAGTGTCAAGAACAAATTAAAACAAAACTAGCCACAGAAAATGGTGTCACATATGTTCCATGTCATGGCAACTGGCCTTGGGGATGATTGCTATGAGATCAGGGTCCCTGGCTCTTCTGAGAAATCTGTGAAGACAAATCCAACTGATTTTTTTTGTCTGCCTTTGCATATTTTTGAGTTCCAGGGAGGTTTACAGGGAAGCATGTAGAAACGTTATTGTTTGATTCTCAGTGGCTTCTCTCCTCATCTTGCTGCTGCTTCTCCTAGGTGAATGGGGGCATCGAGAACACACTGAAGAGGGAAGTGATTCATTATGACTACTACTCCTCATACTTTGATATATTTGTGAGTATTGTATGTCCTCATTCAGATGTAATGAATTGGACACCAAGAGGCACGGTCCCTTGAAGTAGGCTGCAAATGCAGTGCTCCTTTCCTTCCTCTGAGCAGTGGCCATGCTTCTTTTCCCTGAATTTCCTGCTCACTGGGTGTTCTCTGTCTCACTAAGAAGTTGATGATGCAAGAAAAGCAATGATCAATGAGAGACAAGGAAGGCCAGCAGAGGAGCCCTCCCCACACCCATCCTCTCTCTTGATGAAATTGAGTGCACTGACAGGCCCTGGGCTCAGGGAGGAAGAACTAGTCCCTCTCTCTGGTTCCTCTGAATTCCTATTTATTTTGATAATAGGGACTTGATTTGAAACCTTGGCTGGAAGGATCTAGGGCTGCAGCCCACACTTTCATGTGGTGGTCTAGGATTCAAGCCTCTCTGGGTTGTCCACAGCTGAGTCAGAAAAATGATAGTAAAGTGAAGCTGCTTTACTTGTACATATTTAAGTAACTTTTCTTACCATTTCCCCCTCAGCTTTTGGCAGTTTTTCGATTTAAAGTGCTGATACTTGGATATGCTGTATGTAGACTGCGCCATTGGTGGGCAATAGCGGTGAGTATGTGTGTCATTGTGGGTCATCTTCGGGGCTGGTGGCCAGAGTAACTACAGCAGGCTATACTGAGAGGAGACAGGATTTTAATGAGCTCTAATTTCACCAGTTTTTTTTTTTAAGTCCCCTCCTCCCCTCACTTTATTAGGTTTAATTTGTTAGGGTCTTGTTGCAGTGAAGATAGTTAGTTCAGTTCTGGCATGGTCTTTAGTGAGGAACCTAGAGGCCCAGAATCTCCTCCTCATCTTTTCAGATGGAAGGCAGTGCTCCAACTGAGATACGTGGGAAATGCCTTACTTTTGATGACAGTCCTTCCCCACCCTCAATCTCCACCTGATAGTCTGTATTAATTACTTTTATCATCGAAGGGACATAAGCAACTTGAGAAGGGAAGAGTTCATTTTGCTCACAGTTTGAGGTTGGAAGGCAAACATGGACTGTGATGCAGATGATCACATGGCATCCATGGTCAGAAAGTTGAGAAATGATGCTGGTCTCAGTTCACTTTCTCCTTTGTGTTCAGTCTTAGACCCCAGTCCATGGACTGCTGTTGGCAGCATTCAGGGTGGGTCTTTCCCTTCTATTAAAGCTATTTGAAATCACCCTCACAGGCATGCTCAGAGATTTATCTGCTGAGTGATTATAATCCCCACATGTCCTTAGTCATGTCAACCAACTGTCAAAGAGGGAAAAATCTGCTGTCATTGTCTTTCTTCTGTTCCTGTGGTTTCTCCAGACCAGTGGGCCACCTCCCCAGTCTCTTTTCTTGCATTTAGCACAGAAGCTGGGCACATTCTGTTCATTTTCAGTAAATATTAAATGGGATGTAGAGTCACCCGACTGCCTGCATCATTTTGCCATGTCCATGGGTGTGCTGAATGCTGTTCATGCCTTCTTACAAACCTGGTGAGGCAGATAGAGACAGGTGTAACTGTTGAACTCGTTGTACTAGAACAAGTTACACAGGACAAGTTGAAATCCACCTGTAGCAGTCTCTACTAGGCAGTCAAGAACAGGAGCAGTACTGGCTTGGATACAGTCGTCTGGGGCTGTAGACAGTCATCCAGGGCTGTAGACAGTCATCCCGGGGCTGGTGACACTTGTCCAGGGCTGGAGACAGTCATTCAGGGCTGCCTCTGCCTGTACTGCCTTCCACATCACAAGTTACAACTCAGATGTGCTGTCATTTAGAGTCCCATTTCCAGGGTGTAACTGATCCTTTCAGCAAGCCTGTTCTCATCACTTTTGCTGACATCATGGGAGTTTTGACCATTACACGTTTCTGATTTCTCATAACATTCTACATTTGGCATATTCAATTCCAGAGTCTCTACCAGACTCACGTTTGTCAGACTGGCCATCTTGGTCTTCATTATGGAAGGGATGTGCCCAGACGTGTGTCTGGAGTCACAATAAAGCCCTTGCTTTCATTTTCAAATCAATTTCAGCTTAGATTCAAATGGTACTGAGTTATATCTCAGATAGTCTAAATAAAAAATGGTCAAATACCATTTTTGTTTCAGATTTTAATTTATTTGCAGGAAGGGGAACTCAGCTAAGTCACCCAAGAGCAATAGGTATCCATCTGTAAAGTAAATTTTGTCTGATACTGAAATGTTTTCTCCTAGTGGATTTCTTTGCTGTATGTTATCTGTTTAGTACTTACAGAAAAACTCAATGCATCATGGCCTCTTCCATCCTGCCCATTGATGGGAGATGTCATTCCCTTATTGGCTAATGAATAAAGCTCTGTTGGCAAATAGGAAAACAAGATTGGTGGGACTAGGAGACAAGGAAGATTCAGGGAGAGAGGTAGAAGGAGAGTCAACATGTAGGACCAAGAGAGCAGAACTCCCGGCGCTCTCTCCGGTAAGATAAGACCACGTGGAAGTACTCAGATTGATAGAAATGGGTTAATATTTAAGACAGAACTAGCCAATAAGAAATGCTAGTAACAGGACAATGACATTATATCTAATACAGCATCTCTGTGCATTATTTGGGGCTGGTGCTGCTCTGAGACCAGGCTGGCAGGAAAACTCCTCCTAAAAGCCCATCACTTTTTAGTCATTTCTGCCTTTTGCTCTCTTTAGGCTTCACCATGCTAAAGTCTCAGTTGGAAGAGGGAGCAATAGTGTTCAGCAGGGTGGGATTGCTCTGGGATTCACCACCCTGGGGAGAACCTTATCTATGCCTGTTACCTATCCTTTCTTAGTGTATTATAGTGGGACCTTGTACTGACAGCTTTTCCCAACACCTTAGTGTGAAAATTCTGCAGTTCAAGAGAAGGAATGTTGTATACAGCCACCCGGATTGTATGCCACAGAAAGCCCATTTTTCCTAGAATGGGTGGGTGAGAGGGACAGTACAAATGATGTGGGAGGTAACCAGGCTGGAGGACATGGTTTGCTGAAGCACTATCTGCTCTTGGCTCAGCTTTCTTGTTCATGGTATGAAATGTCCTTTTTGAGGAGTGTTATACTATGTGTCTTACAGTTGACAACAGCAGTGACCAGTGCCTTTTTATTAGCAAAAGTGATCCTCTCAAAGGTATGTGTGGCTCTCCTACCTGTACCATTGCCCTCTGCCGTGATGAAGCCCTTCTTCCTGTGTGGGCTGATGGTGACTACTTTCCCTCAACACCTCCTGTCCCCAGCTTTTCTCTCAAGGGGCATTTGGCTACGTGTTGCCCATCATTTCCTTTATCCTCGCCTGGATTGAGACATGGTTCCTGGATTTCAAAGTGTTGCCTCAAGAGGCAGAAGAAGAAAACAGTAAGTTGTTTGGTTTTGGGATTTGTGTGTGTGTGTGTGTGTGTGTGTGTGTGTGTGTGTGTGTTTCACTTTTAGCCTCCGAAACTTGCACATACCACACTGCAGGGAAATGATGTGGCTTCTTACTATGAGGGAAACTTTGGGTACCAAACTGAGAAAGTTAGGCTCGTGCTCCTCAGTGGCTGTGTCCTAATTGAGAGGAAAGTAGGTGGATAGATGAGTGCATAGTGACAAAGTGGCTCCTCTTTCTGGCTACAGGACAAGACTTCTCCTAGAAGATATGGCCACTGGTCGAACAGACATTCATAAAATAACAAAAATAGCCACTGCTTCCTTCTCCCCAGGTGGCTTGGTCTTTTCTCGCTATTACCGTCCTCGTAGGTCAATAAGCATTTGTGCCTTTCAGGGGCAGTTTTAAAGAAGCCAGTGGCTCTGCAGAGTGCTCTATTGCCGTGTACACACAGGCTTAGGATGGGCAACAGATAGAACAGACACCCCACTGTTGTTGAGCACATACCAGATGTTCACATGACATAGGTTTGAGTGGCTTTGTGATTAAAGCTATTTCTCTGTATCTAATAAAGCTGAATGCAAATGCTGGAGAGATGGCTCAGTGAGTAAGGATGTGTGCTGCCATGTCTGATGACCTAAACTCAGTCCCCAGAAGCCACACACAGTGTAGAAGGAGGAAAGCAACTTACAAATTGTTTTCTGATTGTACACTGTAGCATGTGGTCACCCCCACACAGGCCCCAAAACACAAACATGAAAAAAAAATTAAAAAGAGGTGAACATTAAGCAAAGCCACTCAGTATCAAAAAAATACATTTTCCCCTTTATATAGAGATAGTAGCTTATAATTATGAAATTACATTCTTTACATATATTAATTTATACATATAAATGCATCTATAAGCACAGTATACCATGTAGAAAGATGAGAAGGTAAGGTAATATTAGGTGCTGAGAAAGGTCAGTGCAAGTAAAGGACACATGATTCATGGAAGAGGATGTAAAGCTAATCGTTTCTCCAGTTTTAACTATATTTTTCTTTCTGGTGATGGGTAAATGCATTAAAGATGTAACTGATACAGAAAGTGGTTGTATAGAAGTTCATAGAGGGATAGAGTTTAGAGCTGGGCAAGTGTTTGTTGAATGGCTACACTCATCTAGCTGCATGATATTTTTATTTGAGTTCATTTTACTAAAAGTGATTTTTATGTTAAAATTGAAAAACACATTTTTCATGAAATTTAAAGCAGTATTTGTTATCACTGTAGTGGCACACAGGGCCCATACCTGGTGTCTGCTATGTTCCCAAGTACTTTCTACCACAGTTCCTAACATGACACTGATTTCAGCAAAAAAGCTTCAAGGATGGATGTTCTTCCTCCTCATATGAGGTTCTGTCACTCCTCTTTTTGCTTTTTAATACCATGTTTTTCTTTGAGAAAAAAAAATAGACACCAGGGCCAGAAAGATAGCTTCTCTGTTACAAGCATATCTTGCCCTTACAGAGGACCTCAGTTTGGTTCCCAACACCCAAATAAGGTGGCCCACAAGTGACTGTTACTCCTGCTCCTAGGGAAGATGATCTCTTCTGGTCTATGAATATGTGCACCTACAAGAACATACTTCCACACAGACACAGATACACACGCATCCTGGAGTGCGTGCATGCACACATGCACATAGTTAAAAAAATATTTTAAAAGTAAAATAAACAAATAGCAATTTATTATCTGCAGCACTCTCCACATGTAGGTAAATTATATTTGGCATCTTCTATTTCTCTAACCAAGTCTAGAGAGTAGACTATTTGTCCAAGCTGATTCAGTTTTCATTTCACTTTGTGTTTGCTTGTGGAGTTGGTGTTGATGCTTGTAGCAAAATGAGAATACTCAAGGGAATGAAGGTCTGAATACTAAGCCACTGAATAATTGGAAAAGATTATTAAAACTATTTGTTTTCTGATTTTTTTTTAATCTTCACAGGGTTGATGTGTAGTTGATTAATGAAATTTTTATTTAATGGTTGAAAGATTTTCAAAGTACCTTGTTTTGATAATAGTTTATTTGATGTATTGAAATACCATAATTATAACAGTTAATCTTGCCAGGAAGATACCTGGAAGTTGACATGGCTCTTAGCCTGTGCATTTCTTCTCTCCCAGGACTCCTGCTAGTTCAGGATGCGTCAGAGAGGGCGGTTCTCATCCCTGCAGGACTTTCTGATGGTCAGTTTTACTCCCCTCCTGAGTCTGAAGCAGGTAAAGCAGTCACTCACTGTTTGTGTTGGTCTCTTTTGAAGCACCTCGCTTTTCCCTCTCCTGCCCTGTCTATTTCCCAGCCTGTTAAGCAGACACTGAGCATGCCATGATATACATCTTAGGCAGAGTTTCCCAGGGGAGTGTTGTTGAGACAGAGTCCTGGAATGGCGTAGACACTGGAACTTGTGTTGTAGGTCCCAGGAAAAGGGAAGAAGGAAGCAGACTTGGTTCTGTCCTCAGCCCTCCATCCCTACCCACCTTCCTCTAGGATTGCTCATGGCTGAGAGAGGCAGCTCAGTCTAAGTGCTCCCATCAGGAAGTGTCTCAAGATTGCCTCCTCCCTCACAGCTGATGCCTCGTCATTCATAAGCTTTTGATTAGCCTGTGTTCTCTGCCTGTGTCATCTGCTTCAAGTCACACCATTTCCAAAGATAGGTCATTTCTTAGTTTACTATCCGCCACTTCCTCCCTTGCACAGCTACTGGGTTTGCTCCTCTGTAACCAGCTACCAGAGCGCACTTTACTATAACAGCAGCAACAGGCCCTGAGCACAAATACCCAAAGGTCTACAATAAACATTTTCCAAAGAAGTTATACACAAAGCCAGTTCTATGTGGAAGCATGCCAACTCCAGTAATCTTTGGAAAAATACAAACAAAAGCCATGCAAAGGTACCACTGTGCCCTGTTAATATAAGTATTTTTAAAGTCTCCTACTTTGGTGAGGACATGAAATGGGTCAAATGTGTATACATAACAACTAAGGACAGAATGGCACAGCTCCTGTAGAAAACGGCATGGTGTTTCCAACAAAACTCAACATAGAATTAATTATGATATCGCTCAACAGTTACTTCTCTGGCTATCTGTTCAAGAAGGAGGAAAACAAATTCAAGAGACACCATGAGCCCCTGTAATCATAGCATCATTGTATACAGTAGCTATCAACTAGTTAACACACAAAGTGTGACATACTATAGCCTTAAAAAGGAATTAAATTCTGACCCATGCCACAATGCCTGTGAACCTTGAGCAGAATATGTGAAATAAAATAAGCCAGATGCAAAAAGCTACCATGTGCATGACTCTGGTTCTTGAGGTTATCAGTGAGGTCAGATCCCAAGAGTCTGGAAAATAATGGCTGCCCAGGATGGAGGAAGTTGTGCAAATGGATTGTGCTGATGGTTGAATAGTGATATGAACTGAATGTTGCTATATAGAACACTTCAGAATGGTTCAAATGCTGTGGTGGGTAAGGCAAAAAATCTGTTTATACAACATAAAAATGTTTTAAGTTGCTGGGATTTTATAGGTAAGTACCTGGTACCAGGGTTACTGGTGTTCGCTCATTCACATCTTATAACCTCTCTGGGAGATGAGCGTATTGTACCAGTGGAGAGAAGAGCAGTTAGGCACGGAACAGATGTGTGGCAGCGTCAGGGAGCGATGGTGCTGGACACAGTGCTGCTCCGGTGTGAGAGTCCGTGCTCATGTCTGCGTTCTTACAGCTTCGCATGTCTGTGCAAGTACCAGGATGGTGGGTCATTCCCCCTGCACAGTGACCTGGACAAAGCCACCTCTGTTTCCCCTCTCACTCCCTGTCCACCTCTCACCGGCCTTCTTTCTCCTCTTAATGTTCCAGAGAAGCTGAGCTCCAAGGCCCGCCCACAGGCTGCCATGCATTTCGCTGCTTCTGTTCTGAACATTCTAGCTTTAGCTGAAGCTCTGAAAACCTCCACTCAGCCTTCCCCACCTGCCTACCCTTCTGCTCTCTTGGTTAGGGACCCGGGATCCTCTAGCCCCTCCACCCTGCACCATCTGTACTATCTCTAGCAGTCAGTCTGTCTGTCTCTGCCCCTATGATGGGGCTTGCATTAGAGGCTACATTGTTGACTTCCAACATTAGATAGAGGGAATATTTTAAACTCTATTAACAGGCAAAAGGTGCTGTGAAAACAATGGAAGGTGCAGCGCTGTACAGTGTTGCTGCAGTTGCAGTTACTTGCATTGTGTGTTATTGATGTGGGATCTGAAGAGGTACATAGGCCCCATGAAGTGCAGGCGTATGTTAGTATCAGTCCGACACTGTAGAAAGTAGAATTAAAAGTGAAACGTTTTTATTACTTAGTAATGAGTAATTTGATTCAGATATTTTATGTCATAGAACTGGTTTGAAAAAATGGAATTTATGATCTAATTCAAATGTAACTATTTTACCTTAGTTTCCCCCAGGCTATTGCAATTTCTCAACATCAATTTGTTTTCTCAACAAGGAGCTCAGAACTGCCAATAACACCATGAAACAGTTCTTCCCCATCAAGCGGTCCCAGACTAATGCAGGGCCTCTGTCTGTGATGTCTGCCACCACCTAGTGGTCCTTTGGGGGATCACCACGGGGTTATGATGACCAACCAATTCTCTTGTGTTCGTTTATGCACATTAGTGGTGAAGGGGGGTGGATGCACAAAGGGCTTGCTTTCCTGTGTTACACTTATATTATCTGAGTGTTTAATTTGGGAATTAAATTACTGCAGAAGGTAATGTGCCGTAACTGTTTTTTAGCTCACGCTTTTGCAATGCCCAGAGTGAGCAGCACCGCTTGCCCACAGAGATCATTGTGCAGGAGACTGGGCCATCTTGCTTGCCTTGTTCCCAAGCACCCAAACTACTACTTGACACATGATAGATTTCTTTCTGGTAGAAGGTTGGAGTAAAGTAGGGGGGGACATTGAAGGGAGTGTAATAAAAATATATTCATTCTTATGAAAGAAACTTGAAATTTAGAGTGGACACTAAGGAATCTAAGAACTCAGCATGTCTTAGAAGATGTGTTGCTGAACTGTCACCGTGGCGTGTTTACAAAGCTAACATTTTGGTCTAGCAACAGCCTGCTTGCGTGTATGTTTCATGCTTGAAGGCACAGTTCTCTTCAGGTGACGGCCACGGTGCTGAATGTGGTCAGAGAGCAACGTGGACAAAGTGGGAATCTCAGGTCAGGGAAGTCTGGTGTGAAGTGCGTACTGGCTTGGGACTAAAGATGTGCAGTTCATAGGTGTAGCGCTTGTCTGTAGTACATGTAAAGACGGACGGATGGATGGGTGGGTGGGTGGATTCATGGATTGATGCATGGATGGAAGCATGGACGGGTAGATGGATGGATACTTCAAACTGTGTAAAATTATTCTGTGTAAGATAAAGGCACTAAAAGTTCAAGAGTACTCATGAGCCTGCTTGAAATGAGCCTTGCCTCATTCTTGTCACCAGATGTGACTATTAGATTTCTTTATCCCTCAGAAGGGCTCTAAATTAGGAAATATATTTAATGCATTTAAAAATCATTCCCAGGGTTATTAGTTCATAGGTTTTTAAGCTCTATGGAGGTATAGGTAACTTTCCATACTATAAATAAATTTATCTCTTGTGAATGTATAAAGTCTTCCCCATCAAGCTTTCAAGGATAGATGCAGGGACTTTTGTCTATGGTGTCTACTCCCACCAAGTGGTCATTTGAGGGATTACTGTGGGGTTATGGGTTATGGCTAGTGATAATTGTAGGCCTGGTTGCCCTTAACTCCTCTGCCCCCACCTCAGGTGACTGTTGTTCTGCCTCCTGCCTGGACATGTGCCTCCTGGACATTTTCTAGCAGTGGTTATGCAGGGTGGTTTCTGCCTTCAGCTGCTTTTTCAGTGTAGAGTTTTAGGAAATAGCAGCACTCCAGCAAGAATAATCTTTGTTCCTTTGACAGTGTGACACAGCACCATTTATCAGTCAGTGGCAATTCAGATTTTGCAGTTTGAGCTAGTATAAGTAATTGAGTTATGAGCAGCCACATATGTATTTGGAAATTTATTATCTTTCTTGATTGAATTTTCAAAAGATTTATTGAACAGTATAGTAAATGTCTTTAGCACTTTTCATATGCTGCTCTTTGAAGTTCTCTGTTTCCTTTGTCCTTCAAGTTGTGGATATTGGCTTAATTCTGTCTGAATCCTTGTTGATGCTTTGGGTCATCTAATGAAACTAGAGAGGTGCCCATTGTGCTCTCGTGAACATGTCCTTGGTGACCCTGACACATCTTCCACATTCCTGTTCTGCATTGTTTGTCTTTTCCTTTCTGTTTTTTTTTTTCATATTTTCAGCTAGATTCTTTGATAATCCCATACATTTATATAACACAATCTGATCACACTATCAGCACCCCCATTCTCCTCCCCCGTCCCGTCTCATGTCTTTTGCTTGCTTTTGTGACCTGGTTTTAACCAGTGTCCCTGTGAGCACAGTGGCCACCAGCATTCAGTAGCTCCCCAGGGAGGAGCAGGGCCCCTTGAGCCCTCCCCATTCACGACTGACTGTTGATCTGCACACAAGTGCACACAACTGCAGCCATTGTGAGTTCACTATGCAGTATCTGTGTCATATCCATCAGGTAATGATTCACACCCCCTCCCCATCATTGGTTCCACAATCATTCTGTCCTTTTCCCGTGATGTTCTCTGAGCCTTGGAGGTGATGTGGATGTCCTTGGTAGGACCAAGCAGTCCACACTCACTTACTCTTAGCACCCTGAGTGGCTGTGACATTTTCCTCTGGTGGCAGCAGAAAGAAGTGTCTCTGATCAAGGCTGAGGCCTTTGTCCTGGGCTCTTCTAGAGTATTATGTTCACAGTTTTGCTCTTTTGAGGACAGTGTATTTGTAGGCATCAAAGATCTCATTACCTTCACACCAGGTCATAAAGGAATTTTCCTGTGGTTTCTATGTAGACGTTTCAATTAAGATTTGGCGTGTATTTTTGTTTGGTTGGTTTTGTATTTTCTTAGGATTATAGAGTATTTTAATATGCTATATTAATTTTACTATATTACTTAATAGCTACTTAGTTACTTATGTTACTTTTCACATATAGAAGAAATAAAGGGCTGCATGCATGCTCTCTTGATGTTGGCTGTGTCCATTGTCTTTGAAACTATCTAACCAAATAGTGACTCCCCACTGAACCCTCTTGACTTTTGTTAAAAGTCATTCGCTGGGAGTGGGCCAAGTCAGCTATTTCTTCCACTCCTTTTGGATCGGATTTAGCACATTCTGTCTCTACTTTTTAAAGAGTCTTTTTTTTTTTTTTTTTTTTTTTTTTGGCTTGGTTGACTTGACCTTTCTTACAGTCTAATACAGGCATTTAAAAGTGTAATTTCTTCTAGATCTTGCTTTATCGGTGTCCCATACATTCTGACCTATTGAGTAGTATTTCCTGTGTTCCCTGTTTACCAACAGGCTGGTGATGCGGTCCTCTGTGTATATCCTTAGTCACAGCCTATGAGATGTCTGAGTTGATGGCTCTCAACAAACCCAGAAAAATCTGGCCAGGATCTTCCTGGTCCCCATTGTCCCCAGTGCACATTTTAGTGTTACCTGGCCAGTGTCTGTCTCTGCACAGCATCCTGTGGTCTTTGTCTGCTGTGCAGACCAGAACCTGTCTGTCACTCCCTAGTGAAGCCAAGCACCCCTGCTTTTTGCATTTGCTCTCCCAAATTCCTTCTCACAGATGCTGCCAACTGCAGCTTTCCCATTCCAGGGCTTGTTTATTCCATCTCTGTTCATTCTTAATATTTACCCTTCTTGACAATCTCTGACTGTTTTTCTCATGATTTTTTCTTAAGTTGAGTCTATGTGTCCTTTGAATGCATCTGTTACTACTGTTTTGATGTTTTCCTGGTTAGATAGAGTATTCAGAGACACACAGAAGGCTTGTTTTGACTTTTGTCTTTTTTTCAGAAGGATAGCATTAGCCGGTGGTTGTGTTTTTTAAATGACATTTCCTGCCATTTCCATTGCAATTTATGGAGCAGTTCTGAATTTGGGTTTTTTTTTTTTTTTTTCCTTTTCCTCTCAAAAGGACATCATTGTTCCTTTAATAAATTGACCATGAAATTACACTTTGTATGGACTAATTCTACTTCTCTTTTATGTTTTGTTTTCTTCTTTTGAAAAACTTGGTTTTTGACACTAAATTTTAAGAAAAAAATGTATTTATCCTTCGAAGACTTCGTATGTGTATAAGGCACATGCGCTCCCTTTCTCTAGGTCCCTGCGAGCACCTGCAGCACAATGGCTTTGAGCTCGATGCTCGATGCTCCCTTTTATCTTTGACTGATCCATGGAGTCCAGTTAATGCTGCCCGTATATGCAGAGTGTTAGGGTGTGGGGTAATCCCCTGGGGCATGGACCCCCTACCAGTGGTGAAGCTCCTAAGAAAGTGACTGCCCCTGCCGCTGCAGCCATCAACTGCCAAACGCTCCTCCACTGTGGTGGGCCCCGAGATGTCCCTCCTCCTTCCTTGTTACCATTTTAAACTTGCATGATCTTGTGCAGGTCACCACAGCTGCTGTGAGTTCGTGTGTGTGAAATGTCATCCCTGGTGGACAGAATTTCACAGCACTCCTCCCCATCCTCTGGGCTTAAGGTTGTGCCCACATTTTTACCTCACAATTATAAATCATTTCCGGTGAATCTGGAGTGACTAGGTAAAGGTATAGTGGTGAGGCTTCACCTTCAGCCCACCAACTGTATTTGATGGGGTCTTGTTTTGCTTTTGAAGCCTCACTTCCCTGGTCTCTGGACTCTGCCATGCTCAGTGGTACCCAGTGACTTGACAGAAAGCAGGCTCAAATTCCTGGAGTAGACTTCTCTCCTCTGCCAAATGGCAGAATAGAGTAGTGTGTAGAAGCCCTAAGACATAAACACTCATTCACGCCATTGCCCATGCAGCTGTCAGTTGAGCCTGAGAGCAGGCATATGCAAGATGGATATCCTTCTGAGCCCCATTCCCCACACACATACACTAAAAAGTCTAATTCAGCAAGCGGTTGGTAGGCTGGAGGTGACACCTCACCACTTTACCTTTACCTAGTCTCTCCAAATTCACCGGAAATGGTTAACATTTGTGAGGTTAAAATGTGGGGCACAACCTTCAGATTCTCTACCATGCCTTCCTCTATACCAAGCGTGTTCTCTGATCTATCGAGTAGAAGTCTCTAAAGACATCATGCCCTTGAAAGCACATCATTTCACAGTTACTGCAGCCCAAGAGGCTGCCCCCTCCTAACCTATGCTTTCCTCTTTTCACTCTCCTTCTTAAAATCCCACCCTGGTTATGAGAATACCGCATACTTCCATAAAAACTCAAAGCTGACCTGCCCCTCAAACTACACAACAATGTCAGCATTCCCAGCGCATGGCATTTTCTTTTAACTGTGTGTGCGTAATTTCATACCACTGTGTCTGTCTGTCCTACAGTAAAAGCAAGACTGTGCAGCTATGAGTTAAAAGCTAGTTACTATCATTTTACTGTGGACATCTTGAAATATTCAAAAATATATAAATGTTACATGGTAATTTTCTGTTATTTGATTTTTTTTTAATTTTTGTCATAGTCAAGCAGCTTAGAGTATGCAAATGTTATTTAACTGTTTGTTATGAATTTGTTTTTGCAATAATCCCCATGTTGTTATAAATTATATATAAATGAGTTTTAAGTGTGTGCAAGTTATTTCACAGAATTGTAACTCAGAAAATAAAACTCAGACATGTAGCTCTGATTTCTGACCTTTGGAGACAAAGTCTTGATGACTTTTGTTTAGTGTCCATCCAGAGGAAGGAATTTCAGAACTAGATGGCCTGCTCCACTGTTTGAAAACCACCTTTCAGTGGACAGACATGCACCTGGCAGCCCCTTCCTTCAGCATTAGGAACCCTCAGTGTTCCCAGTTCAGCCTGTGCAGTGTTTTTTAGTAACACCTAGATTTAATATTATTTATACTTAAGAATGCATATACAGTGTGGCTGGAGAGATGCCTCACTAGCTGCCATTCCAGAGTGCCTGGATCCTATTCACAGCATCCATAGAGCCACTCACAGCTGTCTGCAACTCCAGTTCTAGGAGATCCAATACCCTGGTCAGGCATGCATGTGCTGCACAGACATATGTGCCAACAGAACACCTGTACATATAAAATAAGGCTTAAATATGCACAAGTCTTAACAAGGAGGAAGATGGAGATGGGCAACCAATAATTCTTGTTATGTGAATCCCTTTGAAGAGTACATAAGTGAATCCATTTCACTAAGCTCTAGGATAGGTGGTGCTTGAAGTTTCCCCCTACAGAGCCTAAGATCGGACTTTTTAAAATAGCAGTTTAATAATCTCAGTCTCTTGTGCATTAAACATGTATTCTTTTTGTACATTACAGTGAAGAAGTTTGTAACATTAACACAATGAGACCCTGTTTTTCCTTTTCTTTCCTACCTTGTAGGATCTGAAGAAGAAGCTGAGGAAAAACAGGACACTGAGAAACCACTTTTAGAACTATGAATTCTGCTCTATGAAGTAAGTGTTTGTAAGTAAAATTGTATCAGCAAAGTGTTTAAGTGTAAGCATTTTCTTTGGGTGGATTTGAAGGAAGTGTCTCAAAGTGTGCAGCCATGCAGGGCAGGCTTGTTCTGCATGCACACACACGTGTGTGTGTGTGTGTGTGTGTGTGTGTGTGTGTGTGTGTGTGTGACCTGAACTTTACTTCAGTGAAAGCCTTTCATAATTTGGAAGATCGCCAAAGACCCATGTTTCTAAGAAAATGAGCCTCAACTTAGCCAGAATGTCAGTGCTGGGTGCTGGCTTTATTTGAGCAACCACCTCATCTTGTTTTGAGGTCCGTGATCCTGTGAGGTAGGGGATTACTGTTAGCTCCATGTCATACTTTTGGATGGAGAGGGTGGGTGAGGAGTCACAGCATGAAGTAGGGACCTGAGCTCAGGTCCACCTAGCTGTACCCCTGAAACTTCTGCAGTTCCCCACAGAGGTGCATCTCAGGGTCTTTGTGCTTCTGATAGGAAAGCTGTGAGTCCAGCGTGGACATTGGTGAGTATCTTCCAACGACACGGCCTTCATTGTAAAATCCTGTGAGCAAGGACAGTAGGCAGCAAGGGAAGGGCAGCAGCACTTCTGGCCATGGCCACCAGGGAAGAAGCAGTCAGACTGTGGCTCTGGAAGCAAGGGCAGGGAAATAGGTTGCTGACTCAGGCCATACACCGGCAGATGAGCATAGTGCCCTGTCCATGTCACCACACAGTATGCCACGGCAGCTGGACACACAAGAAGCAACGCTGTCAACATGAAATGGTCATTTCATGAAACCCTTTAAAATAAAGCCCTCCGCTGTCATATTGTCCTTTCTGTATCTCTGTCACCTTCAGTACTGACTTAGGAAACCGTAGGCCACATAGCACTGGGTTCAACCACGACTCAGTATTTGTCTCCTCTTTTTCTCCAAGTGTGAAGAACCCTCCCTGCAAGTAATCCAAGGGAAACTGGTGGAGATGCGGTTTCCTTGACACTGAAGTGGCGGACCCGCCCGTGGCCGGTTGGTGACGAGCTGATGGGTTTGTTTATGGTGATACCTCATGGACATCGTTCCACCCTCACTCACATCCTCCCTGCCACTGGCCGTTGGGTCATGCTGTACTCCTCCTCTATTCTGTGAGTCTCGGTCTGACCTGGTAATGAATAACTCAGTCTTGTGCTGCATCTGAATCAAAAGACTGCTTAATATATTGACATAACAATTTTGTAGTAAGTGGGATACCTTTTTATTTCAATTCACAGAACTTTTTTTTGTTTCATGTCTCAGATTTCTTTTGTATTTCTTTTTTAACTCCTTACATTTCACTTGTGTTTTTAAACTCATGCCCATGTGCTCTTTATACAATTTTAAAATAATAAATCCAACATATCAAATTGAGTGTTTTGTTTTGTCTGTATTATATATTTGGCCAGGAGTGGTAGGGCTACAAAAGGAAGAAAGTGGGGCAAGGGGGCATAGAAACCATTGTCCTGTGTTTTGTTTGGTTCTACTGGAATATCTTGTTCTGAGATAGGGGTCTGATATTCCACATACAAGGCTACCTGCACAGGGCATGGATGTCTTTTCTGCCACTTTTCCTAGCTATTTACTTAGCTTGATTTAAAATGAATTAATTTATCTCACCAACTGCTTCTCCATATTTACTTTCGGCTTCCCAGAGGGCAGAGTCTCCGCCATTGGCTGGGTCACTCTATCACCGCATGCCGTGGTGATAAGCTTGGGTGGAAACAGATGCAGTGCAGATCCAAGACTGAGCTGCACTGTTCTGAGAGTATGCTCACTCCGCAGTGCCACAAGGAGTCTGGCAGGGAGGCTGGGATGCAACCAAGAAGGGCTACTCAGGGTAAGGGAGGGTAGAGGCAACACTCCGGTTCTGTTCTTGGGACAGAACCTCAGGAATTTGATGGAACAAACTCAGTGACTATTTCTTGTGCCAGGAGTGGAATAGTACATACTTCTAGCCATGTCATAGCGTTGAGAACACTGCTAGAGTGCTTGCCTGAGCCAGTAATGTGGCCAGTCCTCCCTTGGGAACAGGGCAGCCATGTGAAGAAGTTGACTCATCACAGGCTCTGGTGGACAGTATGTGACTGTGAGGGATCGGACACTGAAACCCTGGAGAGGGTATCTCCACTGTAGTCATGGTTCCCCAGGAACAGGCACATAAGCCCAACGGGGCTTGGCTCTCGACTCTGCACTCAGCTTGTCCTCTGGCCTCTCATTACTGCATGCTGATATCCTACAGTTAGCCTTGCTGTGATGCCTCTGATATCATACTCACGCACTCATGTACGCACTTAATGCACACACACAAACACACCTGGGAAAGATGACTATTTGAGGAGCATTAAGTTGACTTCCATTTCTTTGCTTATAAATCACATTACTGTGCCCCACAAAATAAACATCTTTCACCCTCTGCATTCTGATTAAAAGGGACTAAAGCATCAGCATCTGTAGACAAAGTGCCTCAGAGCCCCCAGCAAGATGCTAAGCTGATGTTGGAGCTCCAAAGAACCTCCTATGATCCTTGGAGCATTCGTGGGGATGATCAGAGACCTATTGTATGTCCCGGCCATCAGATTCCAACTGAGGCAGCTGAAACCTGAGTGTGCACCCAGAAGTCCTACTGCCCTTAGTGTAGCTCTTCAGTTTAACAGCCACCTCCCACGCAGTGAAGCTAATGTTTTCCCCCACTAGCCACAGCCAGAGCTCGCTGTGGTTTAACTGCCCTTATTTTCCTTTCTAACACCCTAGCTACCCTTTGTGTTGCCACAATCAGTAAGGGTAGGTTTGACTGAGCATTTTCCAGGAAGCAACCACATTGGCCAAGCAGGTAAACAAAGATGCCTGAGAAAATGAAACCATCAGCCACAGCCTGCACCAGCCTGCACACCATCAGCCTCCAGTGGCTCCTCCTCCTCTGCAACTGGCACTTTCTCTGCACTGCCGAGACTTGAGAGCCAGGTAGACTCCGGAAGAAGGATACTGAGAGATTTGAGACAACAGAGACACTACCTGTGTCCTGGCTAGACACAGCCTCACAAAGCTGCTGTGGATAGTCAGTTTCTGGCCTCTGCATCTGCTCCTCTCACTGTAGAAATAGTTCCATGTCTGTAAAGTAGGGCCAGGAGCTTGGCCTGAAAAGGTCTAATCAACTCAGGACCATCAAGGAGTATACTTAAGTCTAATCTCCCAGTCGCTTGTATTGTTCCAAATGTGCAGCTCTTTGCTTTCCAGCAGAACCAGCTCTGTAAACTTGGGCTGATTGTAAACAACCGTTCCAACATTGACGTTAGATATCATTTTCACTCAAATGTAGACATTCTAACCTTGTATGTGCCCATTAGAAAAAGTGTGGAACACACACTGAACTTTCACCCAGATACCATATGTGAAACATCTTGTTTAATATCGCTGCTTACAGAAATGCAGGCATGGCTAACAGCTGCCATGCTTGCTGGTATTATTGCACGGTAGAAAATGGGGGAAAGATAGGAATAGACACATGTAAACAGACCTATAAACAGACCTCAACCAGACAACATGCTTGTTTTCAGAAAAAATGAATTGTTGCCACAGTGAGATGATGTCTTATACTTGGAAGGTTAGCATAGCTCTGAAGTCTCTTGTGGGGGTTCACATACACCTGGGTTACAGAGTTAAGTGAGCTCTCTATGAAGGGTGACTGAGCATATCTTTTCAGTATCACTAGATAACATGGATAAAACTCTATGATTGCACGTATGTGCAGGTGTGTGCATATCCATGTAGAGACAACCCCAAGTCTTGACTCTCAGGGCACCCCCAAGTGGTGTCCATCCTTTTTTCTATTACAACTAGGGCTCTCAGTGGCCTGGAACTCCCCAAGTAGGCTAGGCCAACTAGCCAGTGAGCACCAGGAATCTGTGTGTCCCAGCCTCCTCCTCCTGAATTTACAAGCATACATTACCATTCCTGGATTCTTATGAGGGCTCTATGGATTTAATTGAAGGCTTCCTCATTGTAAATTTTATTTGTGAGAAAAAGAAATAAAAAGTGGTAACCATTAGTACTGGAGAAATTTCTGAGGTGTGTTGCCTAGAAGTTTTCTTTTTGATTTGTAATTGAGATGTAGAATTTTAAAAAATAATTGTATTTATAGTTAAGAAGCATTTGAAGTACTATATTCTTGTGCATAGTAGGGTTATTGAAAAACCTAAAGAAACTTGTCATCGGGATTTTCCCAGCTGAGGCCATTGCAGCACACTCAGCTGTTTCTTAAAGGTATGCCATTGGGTAAGACACTGGTAATTGTGCAAGATCATTTGAAGTTTTGCAAGAAAGCCTACTGTTGAATAGGACTTTCTGTGTGGGAGACTATACAAATCTTTATTTTCTACTGAGCTACCATGGGTGCAGACTTCTGTTTCTGCATTTATTTCATGCCAACATGAGCTATTCAGTACAACAGCCTGATTAGTGGACAGGAAGTCTGAGTGGGAGTTGGCCTTGCTTGAACAACCCGGTGACAGGTTAGCCTTTAGCTCTGTAGTTTTAGGAACAACATAATCCAGGAGCAAAGGTAGACAGACCATTCTCTTGAGTCGTTCCTAGCCTGGTGAGGAACATTTTTGTGAGGAATACCTTGTTTCTGCTCTATAACCAAATGCTTTAGAAAGAAATAGTTGGGCTCCTGAAGCCGGATACCTTGGACTCAAATCATAGCTGTAGTTTTTATTAGTTGCATAGCTATGGGAAAGTACCTTACACATCTCTGCCTCACATTCCCAATCTGTGGAATGTCACTTGTGCTGGTCTCATTGGGTACAACACATACCTGATGCACACCGAACACTGCAATCAGGGTTCTCCATTAAGTTTCTGTAATTGACTATGCAGCTACATAGAAACCTGAAATTAATTTGAGTGACTTCTCCAAAAGATAGTTACAATTCAGCACAAGATTAACCATACATGTAATATGTGTTTTACATAAAAATATTGAATGTTCTTAAAGACTGAAGAGTATTTAAGGGAAAGATACATTTACAGTTATTTGAAAAAATTTTACAGTATATACATTTACCAAGCCATCACATGGGACTCTGTAATTACATATACATTTATGTATCACTGGTGGGGGGGACTAATGCAAACAGTTAGAGACAGACCAACTATCTCAGACTCTTAAATGACTTTGAAGTATGATTCCTGGTCCAGGGTCCTCCCACAAAGCCACCTGGCTTCCCTATGTGTAGCAGTTTTGGTAAACAAGTCTTGGATGAAGAAGGATGAATAACTGTCTCCTTCCCAGCAATGTACCTGGCTTCATCAGTCTTCCACATAGTGAGTCCAAGGACCTCAGAGCCCTGAGTATGGAATAGCTAAAAGCCAGGATGCTGTTCACACCCAAGAGCATTAGTAATGGCCCTGTGGTATCTGCAGGCAACTTCATTAGTGCTTGTTCAGAAAGAGCAGGTTAAGTATTCAGAGGTGAAGGTGGAGCTTCTACTGATGGCAGAGGGAGAAAATTCTGTGATCCCATACTAGGCACATTCTTTCCCAAAGAGGAAAGACTGAGAAACTGGTGAACAACAGATGACCCGTGTGTATGTAAGGAAAACATAGACATGAGTCTCAAGTCATTTGCTTTATTTTTCTCAACTGAAAGTGACTTTGAGGAAGGTACATGGTATTGGATGAGTAATTTGTGTCTGTAAAACAAACACACTGAATTCAAAGATACCTCATTTTAAAATATAACTGTTACTTGAAAATCAGTGAATTTAAATTTTCTAATCTATAGGCTAGAGTTTTGCTCACATCAAAGGACTCTTAGAGAATCATAATCTGCCTGGGGTGTGATAGAAGCTGAGTCATCACCTTTGCTCACTTTAGGTGTTTTTGTGTGATGTGTGAATGGGATAACCCAGTATTTCTAAGGTACAGTCGAGGACATGTCTCAAACGCAAAGTTTTATTAGTCCTTCTAATATGCCCACATCTGGGGGACACACCATTCTAACTTTCTTCTACAGGAGGAAACTGTGGTATGGAGAGTTCAGTATTTGATCTCACTAAATTCTGGACCCAGGGTTGAAACCCCAGACCTCAAGTCTACAGTCCAGTGTTCATCTCTTCTATCACCTTTCTTGTCTGGAGCTTGGGCAACTCTCCTGGGAATAGTGTAAGGGGTGGGGAGCATGATACTGTGACACAGGCACAGAGTTGATCACACAGCTCCCATCCTACTAGAGCCTTCCCTGCTTCCATAGCAATGACTTAAACCAAATGACCCAGGCCGAGTTTCCCCTGAGAGAGCAGTCATTGGGCTTCTGCACTTGGCTGCAGCATTTGGGACCCACTGCTCCAGGAAATTATCCCAATTACCACATAAGGGCCAAACTTAGTAATATACATTTGGACCTTAATACAAACAAGCATTGTTTGTCATAAGTTGGTTGTCATTTGCTTTGTACCTTGAACCTTCATTCACTGTCACAAATAAAAGCACACATCTTATCAAGAGTAGACCTTATTTTTATTGTATTTTGCAAAACAAAGCACAGAGTTCAAGCTCAAATAAGGTTCTTCGGGGCATGTGAAGTAGAGGCTTTTAGGGCATTATCTGCTTCAAGGGCATGAAGTGGAGTGACTAGAAGCTTCAGTTTGTGTACATTGGGCTTGTGATGCTCTGGGCTCTTGGGTGGGGGTAGGGGGTTTGATAGAGGATGGATGAGTGCTTCCATGGGCTGCTATTTGTTTTATAGTGGAGTTGATCAGTCCCCTCCCTGTTTTGAAAACATTTGTATAGTCATGATAAAAATTTCCACATACGTGACCTTAAGGAGGTCAAAACAGTAAACACATCCAGCTAGACCCTCAGAAGATATTGAGGGGCAAAAAAAGATGAAAATAACATGACCTTTCTGTTTCATCATCCATCATGATCTTTGACCATTGCAAGGCACAGCTGCTCTTCTAAACAGACAGAATGTAATGAAGGCCAAGTGGACCACACTCTTGAAGAACAGGATGATGTAGGTATAGAATGCAGAGGTGTTTGTCACCTGAAGCTGCAGCACATCTAAGAGAATCCCACAGTTAGTTTCATCTGCTCTTTTGACAGAATAGCAGATAGGTGACTTTTTTTCCCTGGTACCTGCATTGAGTGATGACTCAACACCTACCACTCTTATCAGAACTAGGAAGTCTATTAATAAAAATCCTTGATAAATTCATTTATAATTTTTCACTACTAAAAAAAGAGAAGTTGCACTTGGGGTAGATGGATCTATTTAAAAGTTAAGTGGGGGATAAATTTAGAAATTTTCACTTCCAGTGTTTCTAAATAATAGCATAGAATACCCATCATGTACAAAGCAAATTACAAACAATATTCTGACATCTTTGTCCATGAAACGTTCATCTTTTATAATAAATTAATAACTTTTGGTAGAGTAATCATTTTCATTTGCAGAAGGCACAGAAAAATAGCTTGCAAATATGCATGTGTAATCCACAGCTTAAGTCTTAGTCTATATTAGCGACTTCAAAAAATTGTTATTTTCTTTTTACATCTCCAAGTATAACTATCATCCCAGACAGGAAAATATAAGCACAAACACAAAGTAGAACATCCAGAGCATTGTAGACAGAGCCTGCAGTGCTCTGTCAGGAGGCACTGTCCATAGATATCCAGGGGTATCACAGCAGGGTGCATGGGAGGTTATAGAAGAGGGCACTTCAGAAAAGCCTCAAGGAATTTGTCTGTCCAGATTTCCAAAGACTCTTAACTGTTTCTCTCAAGGCTCTCATTAGTAATTAGAACCAAAATATTTTGCAGTTTTATAAGACATATGTGCTGTCATAAAAATTAAAACAATGCTGGAACTGGAAAGCTCACAGTAACCAATTAGTGAGTCAAGGCCACGGATTTTCTTTCTGTATAAGAGATGTAAAGTAATGAAAATGGAAGTCATTCATGCATATGTGTGTACACTGATCATTAAAGTGGCTGGGCCACTAGTCTCATATGTGGCTGTCTGAAGCCTATGCTCTTCCCAAGTTATGTGACATTGCACCATAGGCAACTCTTTACACTGTGAGTTAGAGGGAAAAAACAAAATGGAGTAAGTGATCAAATTGCCATTTGATGATTGGAACCCCCAGATCTGGATGTGGGACATATATAGAGGATCTAAAATTAGCTCACTGACTACATCTGGAAAGTGAAGGAAACTGTTACAGTGTATGAAAGGAGTAAAAAGAAAAAATATACAAGATATACACACAGAATCCAGATCAAGGGCCTTTTGTCTAAAAGGGACTCTGTAGGCACCAGGAAATATGATTAGTACCCCTTAAAAAAACCTACTAAGTTCTGTGGGTTCTAATGAAAGGCACAGTGTATGAAGATCAATTGTTGATATGACTAGGAAATAATGGGACCCATTACACTACCACCCAGTCTATCCTGCAACTCCAGGCTTTCCTTTAAATTAGAGAAATTAAAAGTTAAGATTATTGAGATCATGTTCTATATAAGATAAAGGTAAGCAGATGCTAAGACACTCTGTGTTCCTTCCAAGTAAGCTTCCAGATCAGTAGCGTTATTAACTAGAAGAAATGAAAAGAAGTTCTAGTGAGGATGTGTGTGTGTGTGTGTGTGTGTGTGTGTGTGTGTGTGAGAGAGAGAGAGAGAGAGAGAGAGAGAGAGAGAAATCTCATCAGACAGAATTGATGAGGAAGATTCATGCTTGTAGACTAATGATTGCTATACCAGGCAATGTATTAAATGTCACATTCATTGTATTCCACAGTGGGAGTTAAACTCTGAATGACTCTATGTGTGAGAAAAGAATTAGGCTTAAAAGGTATAGTCAAAAATCTTATGTGATTTTTTTTTAAACACGGGGTAGTTATTTGGAAAATGAATCCACTGGTAAAAGTGCTTGTCTTGAAAATTTAAGAATCTGAGTTTGATCCTCATAACACATGCAACAATGCTAGGCTTAGATATAGTCTGGAAATCACTGCCCTGTACAGGCAGGGAAAGAAAGGCTCCCATAGGCTAACTGGTCAGGCAGTCTAGCTCAAGTGCTGAGCTCCAAGTCAATGCAAGACCTGCCTTAAAGAAAGTATAGCATTTCTGAAGATAGCCTCCTAGGTTTTCCTCTAGACTTCACAAGAATGTGCAAACACACACATGAATTTGCACATATTTGTATTTGTTCTCTCTCTCTCTCTCTGTCTCTCTCTGTCTCTCTCTCTCTCTCTCTCTCCCCACACACACACACACAGCACACACACACACACACTTTAACAAAGACATTCTCATTTACCCCGGGCTAGTCTTGAACTTTTGATCCTTCTGCCTTTATATATCTGAAGGTCTAGGATTACAGGCATACCATGCAACACTTACTTTGAACATCTTAATTCTTAATTATTCTTAAAAAGTGACTATTTTTCTGTTTTAAAATACAATGGCTGAGTATTCCAGTAAAATTCTTTCTAATAGTGGAAATATAGGGAAAAATAACTATTTTTGAGAATAAAAATTGAGATGAAAATAGTTTTTAGTGACATAAAGAGAAGATTGATTTAAAATGCTACTGTCTCTTCTGCTACATTTAGCAATTATTTTTGTTTTTTTAACATTAATCCAAAGATATTCAGAAGATGAGGTGATAGAATGAAGAAAAACAGTTTCTCAAGAGACAAAGGCAAATATAAATTAAAACTTACCGTTTTCACATTTCAGAACACTTTCTCTGGGATTGATATTAATAGTTGTGAAAGCTAAAAGAAATTAGAGTACTAGTTATTGATGTTTATTATTTGAAAGTGTGTGTGTGTGTACGTGTGTGTGTGTGTGTCTGTGTGTGTGTGTGTGTGTGTGAATTAACACATATTAAGTGTTGATACAGAGACTGGAGAAGACATATTTAAAAATATGAGGCTTGCAATTTCCAGAATAATTGATGCTACTATGAGATTCCACAGAAAACATCGGTGATATGTTTTTGCACACCATGTACAAAGTTTGTGATATCATTACTTATTTTTTTATCACATCTGTAATACTGTTTTCCAGATTCCCTGCTTTTCTTCTATATCTAAACCTCCATGCACAAAATTTGCCAAAAATATGCACTAAAGATACAGTCAATGGAAAAAAAAGTCCAAATTGGCTGATTTTCTGACTTGTACACATTAGGCTGCTATGTTGTGTTCCACCCACAATGAATGTGTCTAACCTTAGTGTCAACAACAGAATGGTATGCCCTTGAGGGAGTCTGGTGTGGACCAATTTCTGTCTAAGCAGAAGAAAGTAGCCATAGCTTTGTAAGCCTCATTTTCCTAAATCTCCTCCTTGTTGCTTGGTTGATGGAGGGAAGATTGCAAACATGCACATCTGTATCAATAAGAGCTGTTGTCTTTACTGTGATCATTGCTACACCATGGACTAGCTAACTGCATCCTAAACACCATCATGCTTAATTCTCCTGTAACACTAAAGTGAGTTGAAGTCTACATGTCCTAACTATAAATTAAAAAAATAAACTTTAAAGAGCTTACATATAACTCATAACAGTGAATGAGAGGGTCAATATTTAAAGAATGATGTGGATTTAATAGATAGGATATGTGGGAAACACTTTGTAAATACCATCAAACTGTGGATCATTTGTATTTTTCAATCAAAATAAAAGTATCTAGAATAGAATCCTTGTTTGAGAAAATATTACATTTATATATCAATAAAGAAACATAAGTATGATCCCAAATTCACAAATTCTGGTAAATGATCAAGAGATTAAACTGAGAAACCATGGGGTAAGAGAAACAGCTAAGTTAAAATGGGAAAAATTAGCTATATACTCCAAATGTCTAAAAAAATGTACTCATTGAAATTATAGAACATCACCAAACCAGTGAAAGATACAGACTTCAAAACACAAGAGGTATTTGGAATCCCAAATACATGTGATCAGATAAGACCTCTACATGGCACACTAAATCTAAGATACAAAAATTACACCAGATGGAATCAATGAAAAGTTGCAGAAGAAAAATACTAAGTCACAGAGGCACACATATCAGGATCTCAGAGCTCGAAGCAGGAACCCCCCAAAGCAAGGAAATTGTCCAATGATAAATTTCAGAACTTTAAAAAACTACTGCTATTTCCAATTATATCAAGGAAATGAAATCTGAAAATATCAGTGGAGAAGCAACAACCTTTTAGTGCACAGAATGAATCACTTTGTGACCACTGAACCAGCATTGTAGAAGGAGCTTGAAATCATACACACCAACACCAAAGAGAAAGAAAATTATCGACCAGAGAAAACAGTGAACAAGAAATGACATGAGAGAAATATATGAACAAAAGAGAACCAGATGTCGAAAGGTCAGCCACACAGAAAGTTCCTGATAAAAATAGAAGAGCAAGAAAAGAAACAATTACTTCAAGCAGAAAAACAACCAGCACAAATGGCAGGAATAAGCAAAGTCCCTTCAGTAATAATCTGGAATCAAATGGTCTTATTCTCTGATGCTAATGTGTCAACCAGCTGGTTGAATTAAACAAAACAAAAATCAGGATCAAACAGTTGTTGTTTGCAAGACACCTATAACTGGTGAAGATATGCACAGATTGGAACAGAAAGGATGCAAATCATTTGATAAGCAAACAGGAGCCCCAAACAAATAGATGTAGATATAGCTATAGTTGCAGTTGATAAGTAGACTTCAATATTCATGGTGAGAGATTAAGAGGGCCACAACATCAAGATAGTATAATAATTATGAATACATTTGCATTGAATGTTGAGTGAAGCAGACAGCAATGAAAATGAAGACTAGATAAGACCAAGTAAATTAATAGTGAGTTATTTACAATAGACAGGCCATCCAGATATTTCAAAATCAACAAACTTCAAATTTTAATTCTACTTCCAACGGACTTAACAGACATCTAGAGAATATTATATTTAACTCATTTAGAAGACACATTTCATCTTAAAAGCTCATGGGACTTTATTTCAGATAACATTTTAGGCCATAAAGCTATTGTCAGCAAATAATAAAAGAAATAATACATTTTATGATATCAAAACACAGTAGAACAAAACTAGATAAAACTAGCAGGAGAAAATATAAAAAGTATGCAAACGTATGAAGATTTGGCAGAATTATTTTGAATGAAATAAGGAAAGAAATACAAAATACTTTTAGATTTAAGTGAAAATGAAAGAGAAACTTACTAGAAACTTTGGGATATTGTGACTTTACTATATTCTGGGGAAAGACAAGAGAAGCCTGAGTAGTTTTTGTTTGTTTGTTTTATTTTTTAAGTGTCTAGTTATCCAAATCAACCTTGGATGTGTGTTTTATTTATCAATGTTTATAAGCAATACTAAAATAGTTTGATATCACACTTTTCCAAGTCATTAAATGTTGGATGGATGGATGGATGGATGGATGGATGGATGGATGGATGGGTGGGTGGGTGGGTAGATGGATGGATGGATGAGGTTCTTCTTTTCAGTCATTTAAAGCATCTCACTGAACTCTCATTTGTTAACTTGCTGTCTTAATATAATATGATGCCAAGGGAATAACTGGTTGCTCTAAATGTCATTAAGTCTGTTCTGCAAAATTCATTCTGTTTTTTTTTTCTACCTAAAGCAAGGTGGATTCAAATGTTAAGATGATTAGGAGGAGGAAAATAGAATCTAAGCCTTACCATTTTCAGATTTCAAATAAGCTTCTGTGGGAGTCATGGTGTTGGCAACTAAAGGAAAGGAAAGCAAACATTGGTCAGCTATCTATGGCCAATACTTTACAATGTATGCATATATGTATTTGTGAATGTATGTATATACCTATTTGTGCAATATGCATATAGATATAGTGTCAACAGAAAGACAGCCATTAAAATATGAGCCTTGCAATCCCAGAAGCATTAGCTGCACTTATGTTGTAATACCCAACACTTCCCCACCAGACCCACTTTTCCCATGTACTCAGATGTCCTAGAAAAACTCATGTTTCAAAAGAGACAATGTTTAAATGTATACTAAATGAAAAATAAACAGACTATTTGTTGACATATGGTCTTATATATGCTTGACTTGACATGTCACACTGAAAAGAATTAAGCTCGGTCTATCCGGTGACTTCCAGGCCAGCGAGGGCTATGAAGTAGGACTCTGTCTAAACAAAGAAAAAAGAAAAACCTGCTAAGATCTCAAATCTTCTTACTATAATATCTGAAGGTTTTTGTGTGCAGTTGTTTCTGGGGATAGGCAGATAGTCCAAGTTATATTTGTAGTTTTCTGTGTGAAGATTGAGATAAGACAGAGACACCTATAAGTGTTTTAAATGCAAAAATAGTGAGCTTAATTATTTTAAATGGTGTTGGAGATGCATACAACTGTTATTTGAGCTTATTCTTTTGCTAAATGTGTTCTCATAGGCATGGATTTCCTTTCAAAATGCAATTTCATTGAAGAATACATTCTGTGTGCATTAAAATGGGTGTGTGTTTGGTGAAAATGCAAATACAGTCATTTGGTTTCTGTTTTCCAGATCTGCCTTAATGGCTCTAAAGTCTAGCTTTTAATTCTTTCAGTGACTTTATTATCTAAAAGGTAAATGGAAATCACTATCACCATGAATTGGTTGGGGTACAAAAGAATAGGGTTACTAATAATATAATCTATGTGCTTCTAAACTCCCTCAAAGGTAATTGCAGTCTTCGCAATCAGCTTCATGTCCTTTTATAATCATAGCATTAAGTTCTTTTGTCAAGACAAACCATACAAAACCAAATGTTTTCCCAGAGGCAGCATTAGAAGTTCTTTGTTAAATGTCTTGATTGCTTTCCTGCCATGAGACACACATGGAAAACACTTTTTTCAGCTTTGTATATTTGTCTTAACTCTATCTCTTTAAGCTGGAAATTGAATACGGGGGCTATCTTACAATGATTTGCTATGCTATGACAAAAAAACAACTTCCTTCATTGCTGTTAATTAATTTTCTCTTCATGAAAACCCGTGGTAAAGGTAGACAACTTCACAGGCATCACTGGCTACTGCTGAAACAAACTATTCCAGAGGACAAAGATTTTGTGAGGCCATGGCAAAGATGTCTCCATATTTTGGCATTTGTGTATTTTTTCCACAGATCAAAAGGGTTTGTCAACCACATGGGGGGAAATAAAAGGATTCTTTGTCTCTGTCATTCTGAGTCCTTAGGAATGCTTTCAAGACTCAAGATAAGAACCTACTCACATGGAGAGCTACTACTCACCTACTCACTACCTGTCTTTGACCACTCAGCCTTTTGCTGGCTGTGTCTAGGTCATGGCTCCTGAATAATGCATAATTCTAAATGATGAGGAACAGAATACAAGTCCTTTACTGCAGCCATTGGGTCACTAGCTCATCTGATACTATTCATCCACATCTCACTTGGATCTGGCATGCAGATGACACAGCAAATGTCTACCCAAATGGCTGCATTTACAAAAGCAAGAAATCAACTCACTGTGGAAAGCAGAAATGTATTGTATATGTTAGCCTTATTCACACTTAAATTGTGAGTGATGTGTAACAGTGACATGTAAAACAAAAATCAGAAAACCTCAAGGCTGTCATAAATCTTCAATGACCAAATAGTTCTACACTTTTTGTTGAATATAAATTTTCATAGAAGCACTGTTTTATGAGTTAAAAACTTACTGTAGACAGAAATTAGTGCACTGAAATTGAATTAGGCAATTTTGCATATTTTATATGGTTGAGCATGTCTGAAAAGTGTCTATTGTTCTTGTGTCTGAATCAAGCACAACCAGGAAAAATGAGAACAGCAATTTCAACATACTATGCACTGAATAACTAGATGCTTTCAGGTATGTTATTTCATTTAATCCACGAAGCAATTCTAAAAAATAAGACACGATCTTCATATTTTACATAGTATAACTGAAGCCAAGTAAATTAAAAGCAAATATTTTGCTATTTTCCCTATAACATCCTCTGAGACAGAACAGCAAGGTTCTGTGTTTACAATATATAATAAGATTTAAGAAAGATTGATTTATTTTTATCAATACACATTATAACAATAGGATCATTCCCTTTTACATATGTTTTCTCGAAACACATTTATATTACCATATGCATACCTTTATCTATAGGAGGAAACAGAATCTCCTGGTCAACTCCTTTAGGATTGTGTTCATGTTTGACAATACATCCATACTCTTTATCCATTGAATCTTCAGTCACAGTCAGCCAACTTAACTTCATGTATGTGTCATTAGTCTTCATGGTATTTCCCTTTTTAGATGCCAGAATCTTACTGCTATCCTTTTCTTTCCAATATACACTTATGACATCAGGAAAGAATTTCTCAAGGAGACAAAGGAATGTCCCAGCCTTATGGAGATTTGTTTCAGCAACAGAAGGGAGAAAAATGGTGGGCTTGGGAGAAATGTCTAAATCAAAGTGTTTGTCTGTAGGGAAATATAAAACAAAAAAAAAAGAGAATTATTAGGAAGACTCAACTGTTATGTGGAATTGACACAATTTGGTGCCGTGTGATAGGAGGACAAATTATGACTAAGTTAGTGCCCACTGTAGACTTGTACTTGCCTACGTTGTGGAGATTTTCTGTGGCTCCCACCTTAGAGTTGCACAATTAATAGAGGGTTTTGCATGACTTCCAGAAGTCAGCTGTTGACTGGAGGGGCCTAGTTGAAATCTTTCTTTTGTTGCTTTACAGACAACATGGATCCTTTGCTACATCTCCTGTATTTTCTCAGATTGGATCACATTTTCAGGATGTATAAAAGAGTTCTGGGAATGACTATATGATGTCTCTGATAACTGGGATCCACACTTCCCTAATGGCTAGTGTTGCCACCCTTTGTCTCTTAGATTGTCTAACTAAGTCACTCTCCTGTGCATTTGCAATTCTATTAGCCCACTCTCTACTTAACTGATTTTTACATGTGCTCCTTTTATATCATCTCACATATGAGATGTAACAAGTTGAGTTGCCTGTTTTAGTGACCATTTCCTCCAAAGTACAGTAGCATGCATTGACTTGAGCCCTTGCCTGTGTCTGTGGATCTCTGCCCAATCCTACAGATCCTACTGCTTCTCTGTCATCCCATAGCATCTCATTTCCACATCTAAACCATTCTAGACTTGGAAGCTGGACTGCTTTTACAGATTTCCTATAATTGAGGGAGGTGTGGAAAGCAAATCCACTACATTTTTTTAACAATATTTAATGTTTTTATGTTAATCTTACAGAGTTACATACTTACAGGTTTTGTTTGGCTTTAGAGAAAATTTAATTTTTTGTTTCATTTAAAGTTGAAGCATTACTAAGATAAAACAGAAATGTGTTTCTCCAACTTATTTTAATATAAATTTATCTGACTTTAAGAGACACTTGATCCATCTCTGATGTCCAAGGTTAAACTCTATATTTCTCCTAGAATTTGTCAATACTATATGCTCTGCTATGTACCTGTTCAAGTAAGCTTTCACTAATAATCATATGCATTTGGTTATTATATAAGTATTACATACTTTATATATGATCATCCTATAGTTCACATGTACATAAAGCTAAATCCTATTATGTTATTTATACAATGTTCATGGTCTTCTTTAATAAAATTATTTGTATTAAAACTTCCTATAAAATTACTGCTGCAATATCCATCATGTTCATTTTTCCTCAATATTTCTATTTGCTAGTATTGCCATCTTTTTCCTTCCCTCTAATCATAGAAATAGTTACCACTGATATCAAACTGACAAGTGTTGTTCTTGTGCTAAAGATTTCCTGATAAGAACTCCACAGTGACTCAATACATACAAAACAACTTTAGTTCAGAGTTCCTAATTCTTCAGGTTCTGTTGACAACATATGTGTATAACAAACTGTGTCTCTGAGCAAATCAAATAGCCTTAGAGGCTTCAGCTCTTTATCCTAAAAACAACTGTATTAGTGTGAATTGGTTTAACTTTACTACCAGAAATAGAAATCAAAGTAAAACTAAACAAGAACAACAAAACCAAAGTATTTGAAGAAACAATTAAATGACAATCCTACAGAAACCTAAGAAGTCACTGTTATTTCATCATCATTGTCACTATTAGAGGAATTTGTTTGCACTTGCTCATGGGAATTATGCATTTAAGGATCTGAGATCAATGGTAAATATGAGCAAAACAAAGTCCTCTGTCCCGTCTTTGCATTCTACTCTGCTTTGACTTTTCTGGAATTCCCAACATTGTAATCTAATGGGTGCCTTTCACACACCAGCCTCCAAGGCATCATCTCTCTTAGCGTCATGTAAAAGGCAACCAAGAGAGCCCTCCCTGCCTGGCTACAACCTAGTGTGTGTCAGTGCATGAAACCCCTTCACTTCTGTTATCTAGAAGAATTGTTCCACTTCAAATCAGCAGCATAGCATCTGGAAATGCTCTCTTTTCCCAGAAAGAACAGCTGAAAACAAATTCCAGCCAGTTTGCTCCAAAAAGCAGCCTGAAACAGCTGGCTTAGTCTCAATGCAGGTTGACTAGAGGAATAGCAGATGGTCAGGCTGCACAGCCATCACAGGTCCCTAAGTGCCAACTACCATATTATATCCTATCTTCTGAGGGTTCCTGATTGGCATGGCTCTAACTGTCAAAAGGTTCATATCCCTGACATAGTGGCAGTGTCATGGGTTCATTTAACAAGTCTCTCAGCGGATGGGGGACAGTGCCTACTCTGCTTTGCTTTCCTTCTGAAGGTCTCATGCACTGAAATCCTTTTGTAAATTTATTATGGATTTCAAAATATGATTTGCTTCTTTTTATCAAATAATGAAAGGAATGTGTTTCACTATATTTTCTGTTATCTTTGAGCATAAAATTTTAATGTCCCTTGCTAGGTAGCCACAGCCACTTCTTTTTGTTCTTCTGTTTTTTCTTAGGGTGACTCCTTGTGGACATTGGATTTTGGAAACCATCATTAAAAACAATAAATCCACAGTTCCTATTGTATAGCCGTTTCTCTTTCTACCTCATTGAGTGATTGTTTGAGGAGGATGGGAGATGTGTTTCACAGTCCTGACTTTATAACTAGACTGCCACTGGCTGCATTTAAGCAGATCTAAAAGCGAGAGAACACAGACTGAGGCTTTCTTTACCAAATTGTCACGTATGATACAGGGCTAACTGTGCATGTAGGCTTTGTACAGCCTTCATGTAAAAAAGATGCTCTCCTGTCTTTCTGAACCAAAGCACAATTTAGGAAATATATAAGATTTATATGGACTAACTTTGGAGTGGAAATTCATAAAAGAAACTCATGAAAATAGAACGCTTCTGTACAGAAAAGGAAATGATCAATTAAGGGATGAAGAAACCCACAGAGTGGGAGAGAATGTTTGCCAGCTATACATTTGACAGAGGATTAATATGCAGAATATATAAAGAACCCAAAAAACAGTCAGGGGCTACAGCCATCATTCAGCAACTAAGAGCACTTGATGTTGGAGGGGGCACTTTAAGTGGGGAAGGAGAAGGGAGAGCAAACCATATGGGGAGTGTTTTCAAACACTAAAGATGTTTGAAAATCCACAGTGAATCATATTAAGATCACATACACTTATGAGAGGGAGAGAGAGAGACAGAAAGATAGAGACAGAGAGAGAGAAAGAGACAGAGAGAGAGAGAGAGAGAGAGAGAGAGAGAGAGAGAGAGAGAGACTAATTTAGGATGTCAGGACTTCTCATCCTATTTCACAAAACCCACAAGCCAGCCATGGGAAAATTCACCTTTTTTAAAATCAGAGTCCAAGAGACCCTCAAAACAATATAGATTATTGGCATTGACCTTGGTTGCCTCTAAGAATTTTCAAATAAGACCCTGTTGCTGAGTAGACCACACTTTAGATATAGTACTTGAAGGAACTGAAATTTAGTTGACCTGAAAGCCTTCTTCCTGAGGATTATCTCTCATCATACCAGAGAGAGGTATGTAAGCTGCTGAGGCAAAAAATGCAACCAATGACCTATGAACCATAATGAACATATGGCAAGATATCCTTAAAGGTGCAGTAGTGGCAAGTACGTATGAGTGGTAACCAACAACCATCTAATTGGATTTAAAGTTTTCTCAAATGGAGAGAATTTGTGCCTAATACTGTAAACCTAGTCCACTACTCTTGGCTGGTACAGTTGTTGACCTTAGGAAAGTCTACTACTGCCACTCCCCAAACGGGTATGCCTATCCTTATGCACACAGCTTGGTGTGGTAAAGAAATTTTCCCTTGTGGCAGATGGAAACTATCACAGAAAGCCACAGTGGTCAAAATACAGAGAACAATTAGCTAGCTGGCACATAGCTGCAATTCATATACAACCCCTATACCTAAGACTCCGGATATATCACAAAAGAATGAATGGAATATTGTAGCCAGAGGACTAGGATATCTGCTGGGAGTATCTTCCTTATATGAAAGGGAAGCTGCATCCAAGAAGTATCAAAAATATGATTACCTGAACAAAAACTGAAAAAACAATACCATCAACTGACATGCTGATTTGAATAAAAGCAATCTTACAATGTTGCTCTTACTAGATGAAAAACTACAAGCAATTAATGACTGCTGAGAGGGAGAAGCAAGGTCTCTGATAGGTTATCCAAGCATAAGCAACACCAAAGGGACTCAGCATATTGCAGTTACAAATTCATTATTACGTGTGTGTGTGTGTGTGTGTGTGTGTGTGTGTGTGTGTTTAAGAATACTAATTAAAGAATATGAGGCCATAAACTTGAAAGATTAGGGAAGAGACATTAGTGGTATAATATTGGTAATATTGGTGAATAGCATAAGCACAATCTTCACAGAATTCTAACTTCTAGCCTTGTGTATTCATTTTAAATGCAGGATTTTAGTTTGCTGACTGACAAGAAAGAAAGACATTGCTTACAATTCTATGTCCAGTAACTCATAAATAAAGTTGTGGTCAGATACAGTTGATAACAATGATTTTTTTTCTAAAAATAAGAAAAAAATCTCACTGGTTACTCACTACTAAAATAACAGATTCCTTACCTGAGGGAATTACTATGAGCTTTGTCCCTTTTGAAAATGCCTTGATCCACGAAGCTGTCACACTGCTCAGACCTTCTACAAAAACATGAACCCTCTCTTGATGAGCCATTTAGGAACTCTTAGAAAGCTGACCTGGATTCCTTTGGAAAGTTTTGTGTCATCCAATAGTTTGTGAGTTTCCTTGTAAACTGACTTTCACAAACTGTTCTCTTGTCTGAGGTAGTAGTTACTGGAAAGTTTCAACAGACAATGGGAAGGATACAAGCAGAAAGAGGGCTGGGGCATGCCACAAACCAACAGCTTCCTAAGTTACCAGGAAATACATTCTGAGAATTAAGTTTCTTTTTTTTAATTCCCAGATGTTAAGTCTTGTTGAAAATGCTAAAATAATTTAGCAAATATGTCTCTATTCTCAGAAATACCAAGGCCACTCCTTCAGTAATTTGGGAATTTCTTAACGGGGAAAGCTCTCTAGCAATGGCAATGGAAATGTAGCAACAAAGTAAAGTTTAAGGATGTTGAGCCAAGCCCTCCGTGTTCTAGGAAGCAGCATGGCCTCTTGCCAACATGATTTATTATCAAGGTGGTGGCAACTAGGAAATGGCTTTTTTTGATGACTTCCTCTCCTTCCTCATAGAAGAAAATAAAATTATACAATTCTATCTCCCATGGAATTATAAATCCTTTATAGTAGAAAGTAGAAACTGAACTCCAGTGCTTTGAAATTCTGAAAGAAAAAAAAAATTGAAGGCATTTTTTGTGATCTCCCAACACTTACCCCAGGAAGAGAGGAATGGAACACAGGTAAAGCCAGGCCTGGCTGGGCACCATGCCTGCCCAGACCCAACTAAGTTACATGAGCAGACATGAACTCTATCCCTGAATATGGAGGACCACTGGTGATCAGAACAACTGTCCATCAATAGCCCTCTCACAGCCACCAACCCAGGTGAGAGGACCAGAGTGTAGAAGAAAATTATGCCCTGAATATCGTTTTAAATGTAAATATTTAAAAATTTAGCTTTACATATGTATTTTGCCTATATATAAATGTTATATATGTCATGTGTGTGCTCAGTGCCAGCAGAAGTCAGAAGATGGCATGGATCCCTTGGACCTGGAGTTACTGGCAGTTCTGAGCCTTTGTGTGGGTGCTAGGAGCCACACTGAGACCTATGCTAGAACAGAAAGCACTCCTGATGCTAAGTTACTTGTCCAGTCCCCAATTGCATTTTGGGACAAATAATAGTTCATGCATTGAGTTCACATCAATTCATCTTTTAATGACTTCTAGTCCCTAACTAATTGGAAACTTCTATGAGAAAAACAAGTGTGTGTGTGTGTGTGTGTGTGTGTGAGAGAGAGAGAGAGAGAGAGAGAGAGAGAGAGAGAGAGAGAGAGAAAACTCATACACTTTCACAAATCATTTAGATTTCATATGTGACCTCACAACCCAATACAAGTCTTCATTCAGACTCTCCATGGGATTCTGACATGCCAAGTTGAGAATTAAAGCAAATCAAAATACTTGCTAAGCAGAAGTTGGCACAGCACTGATCAAGAGAGGTAGGAAGAAGCACAAAGAACGTCACTAGCCCCAGACCATATTTGTCTCCAGCTTCCTCGTTCTCAGTGACAGCTTTGAGCTAAATGAATCTCAAGGACCTATCCACTCCCAATACCTGTGAACCTATGAAAGAGAGCGCTGAGCGTCCTTGGCAGTCATGGGACTATGAGTACAGCTGAGGAGCAGATATAGGAAGGTTTTCTTATAAGTTCCTTCAGATAATGAGACTACGAGTAGGTACAGCAGTATGTGGCTTCATCTGCTGTGATAACATTATTGATAATCAGGTACAAGGTACTGTCTGTCATTCCTCTCATCTGTTTTCAAGGAGAAGTTGGGTTTGTCTGGCTTATAAGTTCCTGGCTGAGCCATAGAAGATTCGTTTCAGTGTCTCCCCTTCTTCCAGTTGGTACCAATGCACAATGCTGTTCTGAATGGAGGATTCAGATAGCTTGTAACTTACATGCACCATCTTGTTTGGTCTTTAGGCAAAGGACAGCTGATCCTCGGATATTCTCAGTTTGGAATCTCTAACTGAAAAAACGAGAAGGGGAAATTAGAGATGTTCAAATAATTTTTATTCCCAGTTGGAATACTGGGAATACTCCAAATACAAAAATAATGAAAGGGAAGAAGGGAGCAAAATCAATTTACAAACCCAAGCCAAAGATAGAACGAAAAACTCAGGGGGCTGGCATTTCCAATGCTAGTTGAAATGGACACCAGAGACAGTGACTAGGACAGTGGATTAAGGTAGAGACTTAGCTCTAGGAGAATGATCAGGATCATTTTATCATGTCCCTATTGCAAGGGAACTATTAGATACCAGAAGACCTTATTGTTACTCCTATGTTCCAATAACAGAGTCACTTTCGCCTTGGTAGTGGCATCTGTCCCCCACTTCTTTTCCATTGGATTTTTCAAAGACAACTCTCTTCAATATCATTTTAAGAAATTGATGTTTGTATTTTTCTGTATTATTTTAAGAGGTTTGTAAAAGTCTATGATTATAGTAATCATATAGGAAAATTTGCCTTATTATATATAGTGCAGGATGAGATGAGAATTCCACCATCATAAAAAAAAATTTCAGAGCCTTGTGAATAGTAAACACCCTCCACAGATCCGACATTTCCCCAGAGTCCTAAGCTTGATGCCAGTTATTCTAGTAATCATATTGCTATAGACTACACACACTGTTGTGAATGAACACCTTCTGTTTTTATCCTGTTCATAGTTATTCTTTTTATTTTTCAGCTAAAACCTACAGAGTAGCAAAATAGAAATTTTTTATTCATCAAGATGTGCTACAGAATTGTTACTAACTCATTTCTTTCATTTGTAAAGTTATTTTGTGCTTAAATTTGGTGAAGTGATGGAGCTAGAGAGAAGGAAGAAAAGAGTGAAGATAGAAGAGAAGTAGGGTTGGAGATAGAGGTAAAAGAGAGATGTTGGAGGTGATTGAGATAACACTGAAATAGATGTTAAGTAATGAATACATATAGGTAAATGGTATATGATAGTTATACAGAAAGCAGACAGATTATAGATGAGAGAGAAAGAGAGAGAGACTATGGGTAGTAGATAGATGATTGTGTGGTAGATAATAGATGACAGATAAATATGTAGATGATAGTTACTGGGTAGATAGCTAAATGGTAGTTAAGAGAGAGGTCTACGTTTAAAATTTCTCTTGGTTGACACTTTTCTACTAACACTGATGCGCACAGTACACTTCACCTGAAATATTTAGTGAGAGGCTGCATGGGGAATTTAAAAATATCCCAACTTTTGACTTCTGACCACCAGCCAAAGAAACTTGCTTCAGACTTTATTTTGCTGTGAAGTGTTGCCATTAAATGGCCAAGATAAAGATGACATAACATGTCCTTGTCCTGTTTTAATAGGCCAAGATAAAGATGACATAACATGTCCTTATCCTATTTTAATATGCATTAAAAACAAACTATATATATTTAGTTTTCTAAATACTTACATGCACTAATGTGTGCTAATAATCCAGAACATCAATCTAATGATTTAATTATTGAATGATATATTAGTACAAGTATTACAAAAACTTTATGTGTATTATTTAATGGGGCTTTTCAATAGTTTTAAGGTTAATATTATGTTCTCCATTGCAAATTAGGAAAATTAATCAAAGATAAGTAATTTAACCAAATCTACAAAGACAGCATGAGGGAATGTGTATGTAACACAGATTCCTTTCATAAACATTGGGAAATAGGGAAAGATAAAAATAAATTGAACATACCTTAGTCAACTCTTGCCATCCAAACACCATCATCATGTAAGAACCTTCCAGAATCCCTTCCCATTTCTCGGCTAGAAGAGCACACCACCAATCTCTGGCACCCCTAATACCACTGCCATAGGACACTGCCTCAAGACAACACCTCTGACAACTATGGTACCCCATTACTTCCATGCCAACTCAAAGTAGTATAACTCCCAACTCTGTTGGGGTCAGTATAGCTTCCTCACTCATGAATCAGTATAGAGTACCTCCATTCCTGCACTTCAGCATCATCTAACTGATATAAGACCAACTAAGCCAAGGAATAGCAAGTATGGATACTAACACCCACTCAGTGAAGACAGGCTACAAACTCACACCAAAGAACTGAACCAGCAAATTACCTCCAGGTGTGCAAGTCTAGTCTTAAAACACAAGTGACAGGAAATGCCAAACTGTGAATCCTCCAAAATTACCAAACATGAAAAGCCAAAACTGTGTCTCCTCCAAAGTTACCAAACATACAGCCCCGAGTGAGAGCAATTTAGACAGAACTCCAGAAAAGTGATGTTTAAATTATGTTCTGAGAATTCAAAGAGAACATGAATTAAATCTCAGATAGACTCAAAGAGGGTAAGAATAAGCTAGTCATGGTGGTGCATGTCTTTAATACCAGCACTCAGGAGGTAGATTTTTGTGAGCTCAAAGCCAGACTGGTCTAGAAAGCAAGCTCCAGGACATACAGAACCTGGAACTATGTTCCAGCACATAGAATTTTTTTTTTAAAAAAAAAGTAAACTCTTGGATGAATTATAAGAGAATACAAACAAATAAATGAATGGAATGATGAAGATTCTGAATCTGAAAATAGAATTGAACAAAGTGAGAGAGATAGAGAAGAAAATTCAAGCAGAAATAGTGATGGAACTGGAAAATTCAGTAAGTCAAATAAAAAGCTAAATGGAAAGTCTCCTCAATAGCATGATCTTCTGGAGAACAGACTAACAGGGCTTGAAGGCAAGGTATAAGAATTGAATCATCCCCCTCTTAGGCATATACCCAAATGATCCACATCCAAGCAACAAAGACATGTGCTTGATGTGCTCAACTATGTTCATAGCAGCATTATTTGTAATAGCAAGAACCTGGAAGCAACCTAGATGTCCCTCAACTGAAGAATGGATAAAGACGATGTGGCACATTTACACAATGGAATACTACTCTGTGGGAAAAAAAAAACAATGGAATCTTGAAATTTGCAGGCAAGTGGATGGAACTTGAAGAAACCATCCTGAATGAGGTAACTCAGTCACAAAAAGAGGAACATGGTATGTACTCGCTCATATATGGATTTTAGACATAGATAGAGCAAAGGATCACCAGCCTATAATTCACACCGTCAGAGAAACTAGGATACAAGGAAGATTCTAAGAGATTCATATAAGGTCCCTCACAGAAGAGGAAAGGGACAAGATCTTCAGAGCATATGGGGAGTGGGGGGAGCAGTGAGTGGAGAGAGAAGTAGGAGAAAAAGAAGGGGAGGAGAGGAAAACACATGGGACTAGGAAGATTGAGTCAAGGGAGGAATAGATGAGAGAAAATATATATATATATATATATATATATATATATATATATAGAGAGAGAGAGAGAGAGAGAGAGAGAGACTGACTGACTGACTGACAGAGACAGAAGGTCATAAATCAAGGAAACTTTCAAATACATTGGTGAAAATATTAAGTAGGTGGTTTATAGCAAAGTGGGGAAAATAATATCTCCTAGCATGGTTAGCCTTTGGGGTGCTGGCAGCTAGTGGTTTATCAACACATTCCAAAGGGCTTAACTGGTCGTCACAAAGATGCTGCTCAAACATTAAGAAGGACAATTGACAATTAAGTGGTTAACGATAGTCCAGGGTAGTTGGACCTCAAACCACAACATTCCATTTCTTCACCACCATGGAGGTTCTGGGCAGACAGCTTTCCCTTTAGAACTTCAGTCCACAGAAAGTAGATTTCAAGAACATGGGAGAGGAAATTTTTATTTTTATATTTTAGCATCTGTCACACTGTCCCTTGGACATAATCATGCCACCACTAAACTCAGAATAAACATTGTCAACCATTGTTTCTTATATTTTACTTTCTGAGATGCAGGGAGTTTTCCTTTTTTTTTTTTTTTTTTTTTTTTTTTGTTAATTTATTGTTTGAGAAATTCATACATGTATTTAACACCTTGTGTTCACACTAACCACCCCACTCTCTTATCCAGCTCATCCCAAATCCACCTTTTCTAACCAGTCCACTAACTATGGCATACTATTTATTTATGTATCTATTTATTTATTTGCTTTGTGGCCTACTGCATTTCCTGATGCTCTTAGTCTCTCTTTTCATTATTTTCTTAGCAGATAACTGAAGTACAGCCTCAGAGCTTGCTTTGATCCAGCCATGAGTCCAAGGGTGTAGACCAAGTTTTGTCACATTGTGTCGCCCCCAAGCATTGTACTTTGGTCTCTAATATTCCCCAATGAGTTGATTATGTACTTACAGTTGTAGTAGTCACTGGTTTTCTTCACTACAAACTAAAGATTATATCTAAAGACAGAGCTCTCCATCTCTGAAAATCTTCAGTGCTTGTGAAGAAACTAGGAATCTATAGCAGGAAATGTCCCTGTGGGAATGAATGTCTCTGCTCACATGTAGTGCTCTCCTGACTTAATTCTAAGCTGTTTTTTTCCCTGCAAACCTTTGTGCAATGAATGAGCAAAACACTATCCTGTATTTACTAGCTCTCAGATACCCTGAGTAGGGTATAGTCTGGGGCCATTCGGCCTTCAGACTATAGTCCATAAGACCTCATTGGTTAAATAGAACCCATGATGTTGCCTGGAAGCTCCAAAGCACTGTGGGGAAAGGTTCTTGTGGCCCCTCAGCTAAGAAACAGGAGGCTGTGCTTGATGAGAAGGATGTGGGTTGGCACAGATGGGAGATGGTTCTTATGCAGGCTCTTCTAGAAGCTCTAATGTTGTGCTAAATCCAGACAGCACAGTAGTAGATGGCTTCATCTTCTTTCTTCAAGAAATTTACTTTCAAAGTTGAAGTAGAAGTTTGAAAATCTTTGCTTGCTTCAATTTTTTTGTTTATTCCTTCTAAGTTGCGTTGATTATAGTTCTCCCTGACATTTATGAGATGCTCAAACTGTTTATTTGTTTTCTGCTGGTACCAATAGATATCTACTTTGCCAAAGTCTTGAATAGAAACTTTACAGGATATTTGAGCACTCTCATCTATTGCTCTGGTCACTGATATTTCAGTTTGCTCCACCAGCCCAAGCCCAGCTGCAAGCAAAGAGAAAAATCTCATGAACAAACAAAACAGCACTTGAAGAAATGGAAATAAGGATGACTTCATCACCTCTTGCACATGGAAATGTCTACTTACAAACCCAGAGGCAGGGGATGATGAATCCACTCAGGAGCAACATCCCAACTGTCAGGATGCTTCTCAAGGAGGAAGGAAGTAGCTGGAGTCTAGGTCATAAGCAGGATGGTGGGAATGTCTTATTTTTCTCAGAGAACTACAGGGCCAGTGGATCCCCTGGGGTGAGTCATGATCTGCTCCAGTTCAGAGAAGTTGTGGGGTTTCCTGCCCCACAGCAGCAGGTCAGATGTATCTGTGGGTTAAAGGTCTAAGAAACATCCTTTGTCTGTTACAGTATAGGGAGAGTCACCAGTCAGTCCTTCACTCTACTGTAGTTACATTGTATTTGTGATTTGCTATGGATTGAAGACCCTGATACAAAGGCTGACTATGATGTTCTGCATAGGGAGAAAACAAAACAAAACAAAACAAAACACCTCAGATGTTATACTTGGCAGACACTCAAGCACAAACATATAGATATTTTATGGTTGTTTTTTTTTCTATGAACTCCAAAGTCACACAGTAGATTGTGACTAGGACAATTACATTTCATTTCTTTTTTACATTTTATTAAAAATTATTTTTAATTTTACATACCAACCTCAGTTCCCCTCTCTCTCCTTCTCCCAGCCCCCACCTGCCCCCTTCCCACTCCCTCCCCCATCCACTCCTCATAGGGAATAAGGCCTTTCTTGAGGAGGCAACCAAGTCTGACACTTCATTTCTAATATAGGAACTTCACAGAAAAGAAAACTGGATTAAAATTGTCAACAGGTATCTAACAAGTCAATCTATCCAAAGTGTCATCTCCTCTTAGTGAAACATGGAGCCAAATATGTTAGGGAGAGACAGAGCCATGATTAACATTCAGTGATGTCTTTAAGGTTAACATTAGTGTTTCATAGCCATTGGAGATTTCTCAGGCATTTAATAAGCCTTATTGTATGACTTCATTTAACCCTATCCACAGCTCTATGAAGTGGGTGTTGTGCTCTTCTCCATTTGACAAATGCAGATGGTGGCAAAGAGAAGTCAAGTCACATATTCTATAATACAGAACTCTTAAGTATGATGGTTCAGATAAGCAAAGATCTGTTAATGAATAGCTGAGTAAGCTGAAAAAAGTCCCAAAGACACTTTCCATTTACATGTTCTTCAAATTTTCTTCTACATATTTATGAATAGAAATAGGATCTCTCTCTCTTTCTCCCTCTCTCTCTCATACACAGAGAGAGAGAGAGAGAGAGAGAGAGAGAGAGAGAGAGAGAGAGAGAGAGAGAGAGAGACTGTGCATGTGTCCTTAAGGAATAGAAATCTGCTTGTCAAAGAGATACATAGTTTTTCTTTTTGTGTAGCACTATTCACATGAGCCAAAATATAAGTTAACCTTGGTTTCTTTTTTTCTTTTATCTTTAAATTATAAACCATCTTATTTTATATATCAATTTCAGTTCCCTCTTCCTCTCATCCTCTCATGCCCCTCACAGACCCCCCCACCCCATCCCCCATCTACTCCCCAGGAAGGGTGAGGCCTTCCATGAGGAATCATCAAAGTCTGTCACCTTATTTGGTGCAGGACTTAGGTCTTCCCCCATGTATCTAGTTTGAGAGAGTATCCCTCCATGGGGAATGGGCTCCAAACTCCATTTGTGCACTAGGGATAAATACTGTTCCACTACCAAAGTCCATTTGTGCACCGGTTCCACTGCCAGAGACTCCATAGACTGTCCAGTCCTCCTAACTGACACCCACATTCAGGGGTCCTGGTTCAGTTCTACACTGGTTCCTCAACTGTCAGAATGGGGTTCATGAGCTCCCACTTGCTCAGTTCAGCTGAGTTTCCTCAGCATGGTTTTGACCCCTTTGCTCATCATTCCTCCCCCTCTACAACTGGATTCCTGGAGTTCAGCTTAGTGTTTAGTTGTGGATCTCTGCTTCTGCTTCCATCAGCTACTGGATGAAGGCATCTAAAATGACTGAAAGACACTTAAGAAACTGCTCAACATCCTTAGCCATCAGGGAAAGGCAAATCAAAACAACTCTGAGATACCATCTTACTCCTGTCACAATGGCCAAAATCAAAACCACCAAAGACAGTTTATACTGGAGAGGATATGGAGAAAGGGGAACACTCCTCAATTGCTGATGGGAGTACAAACTTATACAGCCTCTTTGGAAATCAGTATGGCAGTTTCTCAGGAAAGTGAGAATCAGTCTACCTCAAGATCCAGCAATTCCATTCTTAGGCTTATACTCAAAGGATGCACATTCATAACATACGGACATCTGTTCAACTATGTTCATAGCAGCATTATTTGTAATAGGCAGAACGTGGAAGCAAACTAGCTGTCCCTCGTCCAAAGAATGGATAAAGAAAATGTGGTACATTTACACAATGGAGTATTACTCAGTAGAAAAAAAACAATGGAACCTTGAAATCTGCAGGCAAATGGGTGGAACTAGGAGAAATCATCCTGAGTGAGGTAACCCAGTCACAAAAAGATGGACATGGTATGTATTCACTCATATATGGATTTTAGACATAGAGCAAATGACTACCAGCCTACAGTCCACATCTCCAGAGAAGCTAGGAAACAAGGAGGACCCTAAGAGGGACATACATGGTCCCCCAGAGAAGGAGAAAGGGACGAGAGCTTCTGAAAAAAAAAATTGGAACACTGGGGGGTATAGGAGAAAGAGAAGGGGAGAAGAGGAGGTGGGGGAACAAGAGGGATCATGAAAACTGAGTTGGGGGAATATTTAATAGAGGCGAGCAAGAAAAGAGATAACTTAATAAAGGGAGCCAGTATAGGTTTAAAGAGAAATCTGGCACTAGGGAAATGTCCAGAGATTCACAAGGATGACTCCAACTAAGAATTTAAACAATAGTGGAGACGCTACCTTAAATGCCCTTCCCTTATAACAAGATTGATGACTATTTTAAATGCCATCCTAGAGCCTTTAACCTTGGTTTCTAGCCATGGATGAATGGATAAAATTAAATGTGAAGTGTCTGTGTGTGCATGCATGCAATGAGACATTATTCACATATCAAAGGAACAAATTCTATTATTTGTACCAACAATGATAATGTTGACAGATATTGTGTTGCATGAAATAAGTAAAACAGAAAGACATATGTGTGTCACTCTTCTTCATTCCTGTTTATAAGAGAGACTTCATACCCCAGTTATGTGTGGATGTTGAAATGTAGATGCCAGAAATCTCTGGATGCCAGAGATGTAGATTAAAATCATGATTGATAGAGCTTAGCAAGAGTGTTGAGGAGAAATGAATGGAGATAGTTTGGTTGAAGGGACAGGGTACAGTTAGGCAATGGAATGATGTCTAATGTTCTCCAGCAGTCTAGAATGACTGTGGGCAGCTATTCCAATTCCCTGGATCATTTAAAGCATTTTTTGTGGCTCAGCTATACCTCCTTTGATAGAGTACTTGCTTATCCCTGGGTTTAATTCCCAGCACCACATAAACTGGATGTGTAGCAAGCATATAGTTCCAGAACTTGTGAAGTAGAGGTCAAAGGATCAGAAGTTCAAGGGCATCCTTGGATAAATATTAATTTCAAGACCAGCTGGGGCTACATAAAACTTTGCCTTAAAATAAAGTAAAACAAAACAAATATTCCACTTTATCCTATAAATGTTACTATATATAACTACTGTTATCTGATTACAAAATACATATTTTATGTAATGCTTATAATCCTGGAAACTTCTTAAAAACAGATTTTATGCTTACTTAGTGAAAACAGGGGTGATAAAATATCCTTTGTTATGCACACATACACAGGCACACAGTGTATGTGTTGTTAGTGGTATTTGTACATGTATGTATTATGTGGCTTTTTATTCTCTTCCATTAATTAACTGTGATAAATACCATAGTTTAAAAAAATCTATGTGAATATTTAGTGAAGACCAAGAGAAAAAACTTCCAAAATTTCTTTACCTTATATAATCGAGTAAATTATTTAAGCTTCTATTTCAGTACATGCACCTTGTCTACATTTGAATTTTTAGAAGCATTAAGAGGATGACACTACCTTATGGCGGTGGGGGCACATGCCTTTAATCCCAGCACTCGGGAGGTGAGGTAGGAAGATCTCTGTGAGTTCGAGGCCAGCCTGTAGGCTCTAAAGCTACACAGACAAAGCCTGTCTGAAAAACAAAACAAAACAAAATAAACAACAACAAAAAGAGGATGACACCAGAATATGAGATAAAATTGCCACAAAATAGTATCCAATACATCAAGAATCTTCAATGTCATCAAGTCCTAGCATGATTTTATCACCAATAAGAGAAAATGAAGCACTTAAAATATATGTTTAAAATGTAGATTAATGTATCACTTTCTTTTTCTCTGGAGTACTGCCTTCTATAAACCACCATGGACTAATACAGACAGCAATTGTAATGCCAGTCTTACACTTGACATTGAATTCTTCACACTCCAAATCCCTAGGACAAATCACTTCCAATATCTCCTTCTGTTCCTCAAAATAAGTTCTCAACTGTGTTGTGTTTCATTCCCACAATTTCTTATTACTGGGTCATGGACAAACCCTGATTAAAGCTTTGCATATTCATTAAGAGGATTCTGCCCCTCATGGTCCTGTTTCACTTTCCCCATACTTTCATTTATCTGTGTTTTGAGACAGAGTCTCACTCCAGTGCCTAGGCTTGTCTTGTATTCTATGCTGAAGATATCCTTCCCCTTCAGTTCTCTAAGAAGTACAGGCTATGGGCTTCTGCAACCATGCTCATCAGCTGAGTTGTTTGCTTAAGGAATCTCATGTGTGGGGCAGAAACAGCCCACATTTGTGGTCTGTTGAATGAGAATTCTAGGTGTGCTGCTGAGTTATAATGTTCCCAAGGAGTAGATGAACTGAGACAGCGTTGCAGGCCTGGCCTGGTGGT